AGCAACTAAAAACTATGTTATGCCCATTTCATCTTCTAATCATCCAATTTAATTAGCATGTTCCAGAGATTCCACAGCCTATCAGGCGCTTAAATTCATCAAATGTTCACTGTTTGAAAATTTAAGTTTTCCGCAAGTCTAAAAGCTAAATGACAACTCAAGTCATAGTCTTTTAAATCACCTACAATACATCTGAGAACTGGACAATGAATAAGGATAACAGAAGAACGATTAATGCCTTTGAGCTGTGATGTTGGAGAAGAGTACTCAGTGTCCCACAGAAAAGAAACAAACAATAAAAAAACAACCAGATATGTCTTGGAGAAAGTGCAGCCTGAGTGCTCATTAAAGGCAAGGATGGAGAGGCTTTGTCATCATGCTTGGAAAGGTGGAAAATCAGTGAAAGAGAGGAAGATCCTCAACTAGACAGATTGACACAGTGGCTACTTCAGTGCGATCAAGTATATTAGAAATGACGAGGAAGGCATAGGGTATGACATGGTTCAGATCTGTTGTTCTTAAGATCGCTATGAGGCATACTCAATAGCACTTGACAACAACTCACTTTACTTCAACTGAAGTGACTTATTGCTTAAAACTGGGCTAAAAAGAAATACCACCATTTATCTTTTTCTTTTTCAAAGTAAACCAATATCTTCATACCTTAGACATATTTGTCGTTGTTGTTGTTGTGTACTACTGAGTCAGAACCAATCCATAACTGACCCTCCAGTGGGTTTTCAGAGGTAGTTAATTGTTTAGGAAGAGATTGTCCAGCCTTCTCCCACAATACTAATTCTCATGTGTTGTTGTGTACTATTGCAGTGGAATCAACCTATAGCTAAACCCCAGTGGGTTTTCAGAGGCAGTTAATCGAACAGGAAGAAATAGTCCATCCTTCTCCCGTGGAGCAGCTATGGATTAGAACCGTGTCACCATGAGCCAGAATAGACTTAGTGGCTGTGTTTGGCATTTTTTAAAGGTACAGTTAAATTTAATATGTACATAAAAATTTTCATTTTAAAAAAGTCAAATAAATTTTACCTGACAAGTAACAATCTGGTGTCTGCTCAGATGCTCACACAGATCTTGTGATAAACCCACTCGTCTTAATTTCTTGGTAGCCATGATTTCAAAATCAGCAAAAGAAAAAAAAGTCAACCTGGAAAAAAATTGGAAAACCGTATAAGTAATAGCGGGTGATCTATTAAAAACACTAAATTCTTCTACAAAAGCCTCCCCATATGGAAAATGCCATGGATAGTATGTAAAATATTACTGACACCACCTCAATAAGAAAAAGGTAAACAACCCTATCGCAAAATGGGCACAAGATATGAAGACACTTCACCAAAGAAAACATTCAGATGGCAAACAAACACGTGAAGAAATGTTCAAAATCTCTATCTCCCAGAGAGATGCAAATAAAAACAACTATGAGGTATCATCTCACCCCAATAACAACAGCAAAGTTCAAAAGAGCAGCAAACAACGAATGCTGGCAAAGTTGTGGAGAGACTGGAATCCTCACTCACTGCTGGTGGAAGCATAAAATGGTGCAACTATTAAGGCAAGTGGTATGCTTTCTCAAAAAGCTGGAAACAGAAATACCATTTGACCTAGCAATTCCACTACTAGGAATATATCCTAAAGAAACCAGAGCTGCCACCCAAACAGATATATGTTTATTGATGCATTCTTTACAATAGCAAAAAGATGGAAACAACCCAAGTGCCCATCAACAAATGAATGGATAGAAAAACTATGGAATAGTCACACAATGGAATACTAAGCAGCACTGAAAAACAAGGAACTTATAAAATATTATGCAACATGGGTGACGCTGGAGGAAATTATGCTGAGTGAAGTATATCAGTCATAAAAGGAGAAATACTGCATAACACCACTGTTACAAAAAAGAACTGACATGGAGGTTGGGGAGATACTAAGGGATAAATAATGATTACTACATTGGAACAGATAAAAGAAGGAACTATTTAAAATATATGATTAGCCATTATATGTATGACAACAGCCCAGAATAAGAGGTACTTTGCAAAGAGGACTGGGGGTAATTCTGGAACAATGAGTGAATATTTTTTTTATTTTCTTTTATTATTTTTTGTGTATGGACTGTCAAATCAGATCTGACTGGTACAGGAGATTGCCCCTCCTTTTCCAGCAGAGCATCTGGTGGATTTGAACCTCATACCTCTGGGATTGCAGTGCAGCTTCTTGCCACTAAGCTACCAGAGCTCCCTAAGCAACAACGAATGAATTTAAAGGAAAAAAAAAAAATAGTAAGTCGCCTGGGGAGGGGGGGAAGGAGGGAAAATATGCAACAATGAATGAATGAAAATCTAACTTTTCTGTAAACTTTTGTTAAAAATCACAATTAAAAGAAAAAACTTTATTTAAAACAAAAAATACACTATTGACAAAAACCAAGGATCGCTACTGTAGTGGCCTGGTTTGCAGTCCCAAAGCTGGCAAGTCAATTCTGAGTCTTGGAGATGATAGGAGTGAGCAGAATTGCTCCAGAGGGTGCTCAAGGCTGTAAATCATCACAAGAGCGGCAAACTTTCTCCTTCCCCCGGGGAGCGCTGGTGAGTTTAAAGGTTGAGCTTTTGGTCGGCAGCCAAATGCTTAATCAGCGCACCACCAAAGTTTCTTAGTAATCATTCATACCTATGAAGGCGACCTTACTTGGAAATAGGGTGTCCGCAGATATCATGAATTTAAGGACCTCAATGAGATACCCTAGCTCCAATGGCATTTATCCTTAAAAGACGCACAACATAGGGCTACAGAAGGAAGGCCATATGAAGACAGAAGCAGTGGAGCAAGCAGCCACCAGCATAGGAATGCAGATGCCCGCTGTAGATGAAGAGGCAAAGAAAAGAAGGTCCTCTAGAGCTTCTCTAGAGGGTGGAAGGATACATTTCCTGTTGTGTAAACACGTCAGTGTACAGCAATCCTAGGAAAAAATATACAAAAATAGTTTTTCTTTTTGTTAGCGGTAGCCCAGTCAACCCCTACTCATGGCAAAGCCTATGCACAGTGGATCAGACTTGCTATTCATAGTGTCTTCTTTTTTAACGTGCTTTATTAATTTCTTTTATTGTAGTTGAGAATATTCACAGCAAAAACAAATACCAATTCATTTTTCTACGGCACTGATCAGCTCCAAGCCCGCAAAAATCAGGTCAGTGTCACATTCCTTAAAAAGGTGTCTCAATCCCTTCACCCCTACCCTTTCATATCCCCCTAGCAACTTTAGACAACAGGGTAAATTTCCAATTTCTTAAGATTGCATCAAGAACCTTCAGAAGCCATCTCCTCCCCATTCGTTTAGATTGTGAAGTTCAGATCCTGACTTCCCCAGCAAGTGACTTCCCTCAGTGCTTTGATTTCTTTGCTATAAAACAGAGATAAATCCAACTATTTGGCTCGTAGGATTGTAGTGAGGACTAAAGGATTTGTATGGGTGCTGCACTTTGCACTCAAGGTTAGAAATCGTGACCGTTAGCAATGCGTTCAGTAAACATCTCTGTGCTTTCATGTGATGTGCTCTCCAGCCATGTTGGTAAATTGGTACGATAGACCAACTTGCCTTTTTTACTCTTTTGACTTTCACCCACAAAACCTTGCTCAAAGACAGTTTCAAATGTTCTCGTAGAACTTTGTAACTCTTCTATAATCATATCAATGTATTATTACTGCGTGCATATGAAGTTCTCCCAGTAGAGAATGTACATTTCCGTGTGTGTGTGTGCGCGTGTGTGTGTGTGTGTGTGTGTGTCCTAATAGAACAATGATCCATGTGCTATAGATGGCGGGTGTGTGTGTGTGTGTGTGTGTGTGTGCGCGCGCGCGCGCACGTCATGCTTGACTATATAGTGATAATATTCAAAAGGTGCCTTGGGAGTAGCCAGCTCCTGAGAAGGTGTTTCTGGGGAGATGTGGCAGTTTTATTTGTGGAAACCCTAAGGTGCAACTCTGTCTTGCACAATGGCTAACAGAATCACCTAGCAACCAACAGTGATCTCCATTCAACCTTGAAGATTCAACCTTCTCTCCAATCCCCACCGAGAGGCATAGTGGAAACTGTGAAGTAACCGTTTTCTTTATTGAATCCTCACTATGTATCAGATATTGTTTCAAGCATTTGGACTGACCCCATTTTTACAATTAGGTTACTTGAGCGCTGAGTTGAGAAATTTTCACCAATTAACTAGCCAATTGTGCAATCCGTACTAGAATACAGTCTTCTTACTCCATCCAGCTTTACAAGTTCTTAACTGCCTCCCTTTAAAGGGCATCTGGGGAGCAGTACCTATATATTTCTAAACACGAACTTCAAAAGCCTGAACTCTAAAATGCCCAAATGGTGCGGGGAGCGCGGGGAAGGATCGAGGCATAGCGAAGCAAAAGCATAATCCTAGAATTACTTTGAAAGCGCTCTCTTTTCCTAGTAATCCACAATCTAGGAGTAGCTTCGCCACACACACACACACAAAAAGTAAATTCGCGCCCTGCGGGGCTTCTGATGATGTTCCCTACCGGCCTAAGGGGAGCTCTAGTGGCCTAATGGTAAGAAGCTGCGCCGCCATTCCAAAGGCACGAGATTCGAATCCACCAGCTGCTCTGGAGAAGGATGAGTAATCTCCTCCTCTGCGATCACCTGCCTCCGAAAACACGCCGGAGGGTCAGCTAAGGGTCTGTTCATAATGGACAGCACAAAACAAACACCGGCCTAAAGGAGTGTTCTCTGCACCCAAGCGAGGCTCCCGACCACTGAGATAGCAATGCCTATGAGTTAGGGAAGGAGCGGGAAATAATGAGCGTACCCCTCTTGCCCCCAACAACGGCTCCCACGAAACTTTGCAAAATCCGATCTGCAGCAGGTTACTTTGAAAGTTTCCCCCACCTCTTACTAAAGTTCCCTACAGAAAGCGCGGCACAAAAGCAACCTACGCCCTGGTTGGGTCGTTCCTCTGGCCAATCAGAGGCAAAAAGAGGTACGGGTTGATTGCGCTGCTTGCTGGGAATTGTAGTTCACAGTCTACAATTAGTTTCTCAGCTAAAGAGCCAACTTCTCCATGCAGTGATTATAAAAATCTGGTAAAGGCACACACACCTCCAAGGAAATTATAAATCAGAGGAAAGACTTACTTGGAATCCTCTTTCTACATTTGAAAAAAAATCACACCAGTAAAGCTGTACTTTTTTAGCTTGCTGTGAAATCACTACATTTGCAAAGTTTTTGCTCATATTTTGATTCATTTATCCTTTCCAAGTAGCTGTGGTGGATTCTTGTTGTTTTTAAGTGCCATCGAGTCGAGTAGGACTCACAGCAGTCCCATGAACAATTAAATCTGAACCCTGTCCTATCCTGCTCCATCCTCATCATCCTTGAACATGTCGGCCCATTGCTGCAGACAGTAAATCAACCCATCTCCTTGAAGGTCTTCTTCTTCTTCAGTGACCCTGTACTTTTCCAATAATGATGCCCTTTTCCAGGGCATAGTCTTTCCTAACAACACGTCCAAAATATTTGAGATGAAGTTTCATCACCTTTGTCTCCAAGGAACATTCTGTTTACATTTTCTCTAACATTTATCTGTTCTTTTGACAATCCTTGGGATCTTCAGTACTCTTCTCCAACACCACAACTCATATGCATTGATTCTTCTTCTGTCATCCCTATTCATTACCCAACTCTCAAATGCATAGCAAGTGATTAAAAAGACTGTGGCCTGGATCAGGCACACCTTAGTCTCTAGACTGACATCATTGCTCTTCAGGACTTTGGAGAGATCCCTGACAGCAGACTTTCCCAATGTTATTCCTCTCTTGATCTCTTGATTACTGGTACCAAGGTTGTTGACAGCAAGATTAAATAGTTGACAATTTCAATCTTTTCTCCATCTATTATGATGTTGCCTATTGGTCTAATGGTGAGGATTTTTGTTTTCTTGATATTGAAATGTAACCCATATTGAAGGCTACAGCCCTTAATCCTCTGCAGCAAGCACTTCAAGTCCTCCTCACTTTCAGGAAGCAAGGTTGTGCCATCTGCATAAAGCAGATTGTTGATGAGCCTTTATGCAATCCTGATGCCACACCCTTACTCATAAAGTGTTCAAATCTAATAGGTATGGAGAAAAGATACCCCTTAATGCAGGTTGTTGTTGTTGTTGAGTCAGAACTAACCCATAACAAACTCCAGTGTGTTTGCAGAGGCAGTTAATGACACAGAAAATTGCCTATCCTTCTCCTGCGGGGCAACTGATGGATTCATACTGCATGCCTTCAGGATTGCAGTGCAGCTTCTTAGCATTAGACTATCAGAGCTCCCTATGCCTTGATGCACATATCTCTCCCAATTCAAACCATACAGTGTTCCCTTGCTCTTGTTCTCATTACATTGTGCTGCTAACACAAAGGTACATCATTCAAATCCATCAGCTGCTGTGTGGGGAAAAGTTGGGCAGTCTCCTTCCAACTGATTTATTGTTTTCTGAAAACTCACGGGAAAAGTCTGCTGTGAATTGCCTCCAATTCCATGGTACTCAGCAGTGTTAGAAGACAACCAAAGCATTCATAAATTTCTTTTATATACCTTTATCTTCTGATTTAGCTCACTGCACGATTTCTGCGTGTTGCAACTTGTCTCTGCTCTACTACTAGCATAAAGGTTTATGGTTTCTTTTCGGTTTAGTGGTCCCTGCAGATGAATTGAAGTCCTCTACGCTGCAACAGTTTGGCTTCTTGGTTTTGTGGCTATTGCCTTTTAGCATGGACTGCTAAGTAAAAAGTAAGAGATTTAAATTCAGCAGTTTGAGAGAATGATAAGTTAGCCTCCTGTAAAGATTTACAGCCTCAGAAATTGATAGAGGATCCCATGTATCAGAAGAGTTTTTGCGTTTATGCCACAACAGTTTTGATTTGCTGTTGTTGTTTAATCCAAATTATTGGCTTCATCCCTTGCTAAACTGTTGTTGTTGTTGTCATTGTTGTTGTTAGGTACCACTGAGTCAATACAACTCTTAGTGACCCTGTGAACAACAAATCTAAATATTGCCTTATCCTTCTCCATTCTCACAATCTTTAAAACCCTCGAGTCCATTTATTTGTTACAGAAACTGTCATTCCATCTTGATGATCCCCTTTTTCTCTGACCCTCCACGTAGACTATGCGGACCCTTTTAAAAAACAGGGATCCCGTGTTATTCCAATCTTTTAACCCTTTTTTTCTACGATGGGATTTGGCAAACCATTCAACTAATAGTTGTGAATACGCAAATAAACTAATGGAGGGGAGCGGAGGGTAATGGACATCAAAGCGTTCTGTTTGGTTTCGGGATCAGAAGAGAGTCAAGTGGATAAATTAATAATGAAGAAGGGAAGATTCGGGGTTTCAGTGTTCCGGGTATCCTCAGCTCCTTGCAGAGCCCCGTCACGTGTTTGAGAGTCATTAAACGTTAACATCAATTAGTACAAGAAAAGCAGCAGGAGAAAGAAAAAAATCAAGTAAACCAGCTAATCCTGCTGCCTGGTGCCTGCGAAATGAATAAGTGAAGCTGTTGAGCAGAGAGGCTGTCACCTCCGAGAAGAGGCAGTGAGAACCCGGGAAACTGATTCATTCTGTCCCTGTTTCCTAGTTTGTCCTAATCCGGAGCGCGGGCGTCACGTGCCCCAAACAAATATGGCGGATGTTTGTATTTGTAGCTTCCCGCCACTGAGCCAATAGGAGTCGCCGCTCGGAAGTGTCACTCCGCCTCCCACCCCCGGGTGGGATCTGTCACCTGACTCAGTGCAAACATGGCTGCGCCGGGCCCTCCGTTGTTTTGGGCGTGGAGGGCAGGTGAGTGTAAGGCACCTCGGAGTAGGTGGGGCGCTCTCCACGGCCGCTGGAGGGCTCGGCCTTGCATTGCAGCCCCCACCACCCTCCACTTGTACCGCGATTGGTCTCCTCATTGTCAATCTCAGCTTTAAAGGAGGGCTGAAACTCGGGCGATCCTGCTGAATTTCTCATTTTTGAGGAGGCAACCACCTGGGGAAATGGATCTAGACTGAGCTTTAAAGCTCAAGGGAATATGGAAGTGGAGTTTTGGATCTGCGCTGTGTAAAAACAACGATAAATAGTAATTAAATAAAAGATGCCCGTAGAGAGATGGGACCAATCCACTGGAGAGAGGTGGTAGTTCTCGAAAGGAAATAGTAAGGTGTGAAATTAATCTTGAAATGATAATTAGAAAAGTAAGCGTCGCGTTTCCCAGTCAGCTTGTAGTTACTGGTTTTTCTAAATATAATCCCTTTCTTTTCTTCTCTGTGTTGTTCTTAGAAGTTACTCTACAAATGAGAAAATTGAGAATAGCCTTGGCTTAACTCATCCTGCTCCACCTCCCTGCACTTGGTGCTGGGAAAATGCCTCATCCATTTGGAAAAGAGGAAGCTGCTTCTCAGAAGCAGCTTTTTGGATTTTTCTGTGAATGCCTGCGGAGGGGAGAATGGGAGCTGGCACAGGCGTGTGTACCACAACTACAGGAGGGACAAGAGGATATTCCAAAGAGAGTGGAAGACATCCTTCAGGCTCTCGTGGTGTGTCCGCATTTGCTGAGGTAAGCGATCTCTTCCTCACAGGTAATCACAGGAGCTCTGGAAGATAGATACATGATTCATTATTTAGGCTGTAGGCATTGTGCCTCACTTAAATAACTACCCTCTGAAAAATTAACATCGGCAGGCTGTGTGTTATATGCTAGGAAATTTGATCTTTATACTGTGTCAGTTATTTAATTACATTAAATAAGGTTTTGGATTATCATCTATAATTGGATTTAAACCAGACCAGCAAAGTGTGTCTGAAACAACCATTTCTTGATTATCATTAAAAACAGTTAAGTGGAACTGCATAAAAAAGCATTTCTCTGCCTTCAAAAAGGCAAACCCTGTTCCCTTCTTGCTTTTGAAATTGAGGATATGCTTGTACCTTTAACAGAGTTCTGAGACTAAATTTGTCTTTTGTTCTTGTGTGCTGTTGAGTTGGAACAGACCCATAGCTGACCCTCCAGCAGGTTATCAGAGGCTGTAAATCCAGGAGTAGGGGGCTGGGGGGAGGAGATTGCTCATCCTTCTCCCTGGAGCAGCTGGTAAGTTCAAACCATATGCCTTTGGAATTGCAGTAGAGTTACTTAACATCAGATTTTTTAATTAAATTAAAATATTCACAAGAAGATAGAAAAGTAAGACAAAAAGTACTATGTACCCTTCCCCAGCTTCCTCCAGTGATATATCTTATATACTTCTAGTACAGTATCAAACCAAGAAATTGACAGTGGAACATTGCTGTTGACTGGACTGCAGAGTTTATTCCTTTAAAATTTAAAAAACAAACAAAAAACCCCAAACAGCTATTCTCTCCGTGCTTGGTGTTCGCTTCCTTCCCTCTTTGCCTCCGCTGTCACCTAGCTCCACATACAGCCAACATCATGGGCTTCGGAGACCTCAAAACCACCGCCGGCCTCCAGGTCCTCAATGATTACCTCGAGGGGTATGTGCCATCACAAGCAGACATGGCGGTGTTTGAAGCCATCTCCAGCCCCTCACCTTCCGACATGTGTCACGTCCTGCGTTGGTACAATCACATCAAGTCTTATGAGAAGGAAAAGGCCAGCCTTCCAGGAGTGAAGAAAGCATTGGGCAAATATGGCCCTGCTGATGTGGAAGATACCACTGGAAGTGGGACTGCAGACAGTGAAGATGACGATGACATTGATCTCTTTGGATCTGATGAGGAGGAGGAAAGTGAGGAAGCAAAGAAGCTAAGAGAAGAGCGCCTTGCCCAGTATGAGTCAAAGAAAGCTAAAAAACCTGCACTAGTTGCCAAGTCATCAATCTTAATAGACGTGAAGCCGTGGGATGATGAAACCGACATGGCAAAACTAGAAGAATGTGTCAGAAGTATTCAGGCAGATGGCTTGGTCTGGGGCTTTTCCAAGCTAGTACCTGTGGGATATGGTATTAAGAAGCTACAGATACAGTGTGTAGTTGAAGATGATAAAGTTGGCACAGATATGCTGGAAGAACAAATATCTGCTTTTGAAGACTATGTGCAGTCCATGGACATGGCTGCTTTCAACAAAATCTAAAATCCTTCTGCTTCCAACAATAAAAACTTTAAAAAAAAAAAAACCAAACAAAAACCCTTCATTCACTTGTGTTTGTGTAGTTGTAAGCAGTTGTATCCATGTATTGATGCATGCAGTGAGCTCTGGTGGCCTAGTGGGTAAGGAGCTTCACAGCCAACTCAAAAAGCATGTGCTTCAAGTCCACCAGCTGCTCCACTGTAGAAAGATGCATAGTCTCCTCCAATGCAGTCTACTGCCTCTGAAAATCCCCTGGAGGGTCAGCTTTGGGTAGTTCTGACTCGACAGTACGTAACAAAAACCAATACCTGTAACTACTACCGTAATTAAGTCTTGGAATTATTCCTCCACCACAAAGGAATCCTTTCATTCCCAAATGCTGTTTTCTGTATTGGCACTGTGCTTCCCTCTTTCTCTCTTGGCAGCCTCTAAATCTGTTCCCCATGCTAGATTTTTAATGAAATTCTTCCTTAATTAACTAACAACTAGGGGTAATAGCAAGGATCTCTGGTGATGCAGGGAGTTCAAAGGTTGGGCAGCTAACCCAAAGGTCCCCCAAGCCACTCTGAGAGAAAGATGAGATAGTGTGTTCCCTGTAAGAGGTACAACCTGAGAAGCCCTGTAGCACATTTCTGTGCTGTCCTGTAGTATCACTAGCAGTTAGAATCCACTCTACAGGTAATGAATTTGGTTTGGAAAATGATAGCAAAGTCAGATGTTTCTATTCAGTCTCTCCTTTACTTTTCCTTACTTCTGCTGGTGTGTTTTATTGTTTTAGGTAACAAATGAGCACCTATAAAGAAGAGACTTGTTTTTAAAAAAATGTTATTAGTTTTTGTGTGTACCGTGTAATCAGATCTGACTGGTACAGAAGGAGACTGCCCCTCCTTCTCCAGCAGAGCACCTGGTGGATTCAAACCGCATACCTCTGGGATTTCAGTGCAGCTTCTTGCCACTAGGCCACCGGAGCTCCACTGAGAAGAAACATTTAAGTGATTCTTTATTTTTATCTTTTGAAATGTGGATTCTGGCCATTTCCTGTCTTAATTTATATTACTGACTTCAAGGAAAGACAGATTCATTTCTTTTATGTATGAGGATTTAGCACATAATTGAAAATCAATTTTTATGAATTTGTTTTTCTAAGACTATTTTATTAAAGTTCTTTATTCAAGCATATGCTTTAGATATCTTTATTGGTGTTGTGTACTATCAAGTCAGAACTGACCCATAGCTGACCATCCAGTGGGTTTTCAAAGGCAGTTAATAGAACAGGAAGAGATTATCCATCCTACTCCCTTGGAGCAACTGATGGATTCAAACTGCATACCTTTGGGATTACAGCGCAGCTTCTTACCACTAAGCCACCAGAGCTCCCTAGTTAGCTTTAGCCATTAGGATTTTCTGTGCATTTTTAAAATTTAAAAATAATGAAGAGCAAATAGGGAGGTAACAGAAGGATTGAGATTTAGTCTTCTTCCTTTTTTAAAAAATGAAAGATATTTTATTAGGACAATGACTTGCTTGTTCATATTTAAAATAAATGAGAAGTGAACTCTAAATCACTGATAACAATTGAGAAAATAGCAATAGAAACCCTTGTTTCGGGGTAACATTCTTTTCATACTTTACAGATGTGGGACAGATACCAGCCCTCAAAAATTGGCCTGGATTTGGCTTCTTGTACTGAAAAAGTGGTTTGCCCAAGAGAAGGTGAGTAGATTTGCATTTCAAATTTTCTCCTGAGGCCAGAACTGAGAAAAACTTAGTAGTAGTTACAGAACCTCCCTTTAGTCTGTTACTTCCTTTTTCATAAGGTTTGTCATTATCTCTTTCAGTATTAACAATACTGAATGGCTTAAGTTTCTATTACAATCTCCTTACTGAAACTCAGTCATTAAGTCAATAATGTACATGGACATATAATACCATTTGAGATGATGCCATTTTGATGAATATTGCCATGGGCCTATAAAGAACTTTTCAGAATTTTTTGAAAGTGGCAAAATAGTGAATGAGGATCCCTAACATTTGGATCTAGTCAGCATTCAATAAAGGAAAATGGACAGAGCCATAGCTGACTTTTCCTCCAAAAGCCTCCTACAGTGAAATTTCACATGTGTTATATTAATTATTAATTAGTAATTTAGTAATATGTTGTTGTGTTGTTAGGTGCCATTAGGTCAGGTAAGATAGTGACCCTATGAACAATAGATCTGAACCCTGTCCTATCTTGTGCCATCCTCACACTTTCTGACACATTTGGGCCCATTGCAGGAGTCACTGTGTCAATCTGACTAGTTGAAGGTCTTCCCTTCCTTCACTGACATTCCACCTTTCCAAGCATGAGGTCCCTTGCCAACCAAAGAGAAGGACATCATGTAATATACACCAGTTTAAATAAAAGTTACCCAACATAAAAATGTAATGAGAAAACAAATAGTTTAATGAAAATTATAAGAAGTCATCTATATAAGATCAGATGATAAACAACAACGTCAAAACAGAAATGAGAATGTAAGGGAATAGGAAAACTAGCTATATAGAAGCAGAACTGCCTAAATGGAAATAATGAGAATGTTCATACAGTGTGAAGAATGGAACCATTATCACTTAGTAATTTGTGTAGAAATTCTTAAGTGAGAATTTAAAGTCTTGTGTAAAACTTTCCAAAAAAGCACAATAATTGACAGAACTGTAGTAGAAAAACAAATAAGGGATCCCCTCCCTTTTTTTAAATGAAAAGTGCTAGTAAATAAAAGTCTCTTTAGAGTAGTCTTTGCTTAGGGCAGGGAGCTCTGGTGAAGCCTGTAGGGAGTGGTGCTGCTAATCCAAAAACTTCAGAAGACAGGCCTGGAGTCTGTGTCTGAACATTTTCAGCCTTTGTGTTTGGTCTGCACCCTTTGTGATTTTACATCCTGGGAATCCTGATACAAGGTTGCTAGGAATAGAAACCCAGTGTAATGCAGTAAGTTTGAGATTGCTTGAGTTGCTTGGGACACTGAATTTCCTTAATGGTAGTAGTAATGGTTGCACAAGGTAATGTTGAATTGACAAATATTTTGTTACATATACGCTTATCACAATGTAGCCAAATTTTAAAGCTCTTTAAGAACTGCTGTTAGCTATTAAAAATTTATATCCGTGAAAGGAACTTCTCTGAAGTTATTTTCCCCCCTAAACCTCAGATTTTAAGATTTAAATGGAGAATCTTTGACTTAGAAGTCACTGGTAAAGGTCGTATCAGGTTGCATGTTGCCTCCAGGTCATTGAAATCAAACTCCATAAGGAGCTAAAATCCTTCGATCTCTAGCCCTCTGCTTTTTCTGCCGTATCTTTATTTTTTCACCACTACATGGACTTGAAAATAAGAAAACCACAAAGTCTGTTTTTCAAATTCTAGAATTAACCCAATTTTCTTCTCCACTCTCCAAAGTCATTGGTGTTTTGTCTTTAGTTTTAACTTTACCTGACACTTGTCCTTCCTCATATAAATAGCTTTCTGCATAGCAGCAGAAATTACTGATTTGATGGTATCTCTTAAATAAGACCTGACTATAGTTTTAGGTTTAAAAGGAAACTTGAGCCCAAATATTCCATGGTATCTACAGAGAAGACATAAGAAAGAAAAAAACTTACTCCTGACTATGAATCTTTCTAGTGAAGTCATGGGGTTTGCCAATCAAATGACCTTTCCTCTCAGTTAAAACGATCTGCTTACTTTGTGGCTGTCTAGTTGCTTATTTTCTGGATAGTTGCTCAACCAGATCAGGTGGTAGGTTTCACTTCCCTGACTACTTAGTGCAGAGTAAGAATTGTTCTTACACTCCCACTCCCACCCCCAGCATCAAAGATTATCTCGTTCGTAAAGCTCCAGTGACTTGCTTCTTTAATCAGTTGTGGGAATGTTTTCATTTCCCAGAAACACTTAAAACTTTATACAAGTACCAGACTTTCTTTGTATTCTTGAAGTAGTTCTGCATTCCTGGTCGTGCTACCAGTCATGCCTCCAACTTCCAGGCAGTTGTTGATCGCCTGCCCTCTTCCAGGTCTCCCACCTCCTGCAAAAACTTCCTCTGAAAAATATTAGTTGAACAGTGATCCCATTTTGCCATTCCTTCATCTTTTGTCTTCTGCCCTTTTATGTTTCTGTGATTTATCACTTCATGTATGAATGTGTGTAAAGATTAAGCTATCGAGACGTCTCGTCCATTGCTGTGCTGCTGAATATAATAGAAAAAAAAATCATTGGAAACTATCCCCATGTTCACAGTACAGAACTGTTTCATAAATAAATGGAAATACAGGTATACAGAATCTCTGAGCGACAGAAATAGTTAATGTTTTTACCTGTTAACTGAAGGGTTAAGCATTCAAGTTCACCCAGGGTAACTTGGAAGAAAGACCTGGTAATTTACTTTTGAAAATTTAGTCATTGAAAACACTATGGAGCACAAGTTGACTCTGACATACATGGGTTCACTGCAAGTTGAAATCAACTCAGCAAACAACCACAACCATGTCACTATTCAAAATACTGAATAAATTAATTGTGAGAAGTTGGAAGAATGCTAATGCTCTATGATGTGTGAATGTGGGAGGGAACCCAGTATGTTTGCTATGCATGCATAGGTACACTGTAGAAATTAATCTAAGTAACCTTAGAGCACAGTATTAATATGATTTCTCTTTTGGGGAAAGATTTTTATATTTGCTAACCGAGGAGGACCTCATGCACTTGCTGCAGAGGGTCAAGGACTGCAGCCTTCAGTATGGACTGAGGCTCAATGTCAAGAAGACAAAGATTCTCACCACTGGACCAATTGGTAGCATCAGGATGGATGGCGAAGAGATTGAGCTTGTTCACAGCTTCAGTTTGCTCGGCTCCACGGTCAACACTCTGGGCACCAGCAGTCAGGAAATCAAAAAACATATTGCGATGGGAAAGTCTGCTGTTAATGATCTATCTAAAGTACTCAAGAGCAATGGTGTCTCTCTGGAGACTAAGGTGCACCTGATACAGGCCATGGTCTTTGCAATCACTTGTTATGCATCAGAGAGTTGGGCAATGACTAGGGAGGACAGAAGGAGAATTGATGCCTTTGAGCTGTGGTGCTGGAGAAGAGTATTGAAGGTACCATGGACTGCCAAGAAAACAAACAGATTCATCCTGGAGAGGGTTAAACCAAGCTACTCCTTGGAGGCAAGGATTCTGGGGCTTCGTCTGACATACTTTGGGCATGCTGCAAGGAGGGACAGGTCCTTGGAGAGGGACATCATGCTTGGGCGGGTGGAGGGACGGCGCAAGAGGGGAAGACCCTCTATGAGATGGATTGATTCAGTGACTGGGGTAATCGAGATGGGTGTGTCAGAGGCAGCGCGATTGGCACAGGATAGAGCAGGGTTTAGGGCTGTTGTACATAGGGTCCCTATGAGTTGCAAACGACTCAACGGCACATAACAACAACAACGACATATATTCTAGTGTATCCTATATATTTCTGGAATGGAAGAGATTCAGAAAACTTACTCTTGATCATGAAGTAGCTAAAATGAAAAAAAAAAGAAATTATGAGGAACAGACAAATTTTTCAGTAGGTAGCTCAGGAAGAGAAAGTAAAGTCTTACAGTAAAATGTGCAAAAACCTGGAGTTAGAAAGTAAAAAAAGAAGATGGTCTGTGTTTCTCCACCCAAAAGAACTGCAGGAAAAATCCAAGCTTTAAGTTGCGATATTGAACAATGCAGGGAGCATTAATAAAGAACATGGAAAGAATGAATACACAGAGTCATTGTATAAAAAAGAATTAATTGTTGTTCAGCCATTTCAGGATATTGCATATGATCAAGAACCAGTAGTACTGAAGGTTTGAGGCTGAGCTGACCTGGAAGTACTTGGTGAAAAAGATGGTTGTTATTAGTTGCTATCTAGTTGATTGTGGTGAAATATGAAATCATGGTGACCCCGTGTTTGCAAAGCACAACTGTTCTGTGTGGTTAGGGAGCTCTGATGGCAGAGTCTCTAGGGAGTTGCACTGCTAAGCAAAAGACTGCGTCTCTGCCAGTTTGAAGCCACTAATGGCTCCACGGGAGAAAGCTGAGCAGTCCCCTTCCGTGAAGTTGCACAGCGTGGGAAACCAGTGGAGGCTCACTATGACTGGAAACCGAGTCATTAGCAGTGACAGGGTTCTCAAGGCTGAAAATGTTCAGACACAGACTCCAGGCCTGTCTTCTGAGTCTCCTAGAAGTGAACTCAGAATGCAAGCCTTTCCCTTCATTCTTGAACACTTAACTCTCTGTGCCAGTCTGGGACTAAAAATACCTTCTCACTCATGCTCATTACCGCGGAGTCAAAACATACTCTTAGCTGACCTTCGAGCTAGTTTTTGGAAACTGTAAATAACACGGAAAGAGATTTGTCCATCCTTCTCCCACGCAGTGGCTGGGGAATCCAAACCACCAGAGACGCCCTGCCTTTGAGTTAGCAACACAACTCCTTACAGCCAGCACCACTAGAGCCTCCTCCAAGAAAAGGAGATATGCTGTAAAGTTAAGCACATGTCACATATTAAGTGTTTCATAAACATTAGATCCTTCACCTTTTCTTCTCTAGCTGGTATGTTAAGATGGTAATAAAAATAGAGGTTTAGATCAAAAAAAGTATCATGTGGAGGTACAGAAAAAATTATGAAAAAATCACATTTGTTATATCAAGTATCTGAAACTGTATCCAGAGATAGAATGGTTAAGAGTATCGTATCTTATAGTTAAGTAACAAGAATAGAGTAACTGGAGAGAAATATTTACTTATAATTTGTTCACTAATTTGTCTAAACATTTACTTATAATCTGTTCACTAATTTGTTTAAATATTTACTTATAGTTTGTTCACTAATTTGTCTAATCATTTACTTACAGTTTTATCTAATCTCTATACTCTTTTTTATGATTCCTCTAGAAATTACTCCCAGCTGTTTTCCAGAGAAAGCTTGAATTTCTTTTATTGTCCGAAGACCTCCCAGGTGACATTCCAGAGGACGTCCTTAAGGTGAGAGAGGGGTGTTAAGACATCTGCCCGAGGTTACAGTCACTCACAAGTTCAGCCTCCAAGGATGCTGTCTTTACTTTTTCTTCATACGAAGACAGAAGACCTTCTCAGGAGTTTGTTGCTGTATACTGTTCAGTCAGAATTGAATCATAGCTGACCCTCCAGCAGGTTTTCAGAGGCAGTAGATTGCATGGGAGTAGACTGCCCATCTTTCTCCCATGGAGCAGCTGGTGGATTCAAACCGTGTACCTTTGAGTTGAGAGTACAGCTCCTTACCACTAAGCCACCAGAACTCACTCAGGGGAGTTTAGACTTGGGATAAATGTATCTGATTTTGAAATTCTTAAAAGTAGATTGTCTAGAAGTACTGGGTATGGTTGGAGATTTAAGATGTTACTTTTAATCATGTGAGAGGAATGCATAAAACAGTTTAAACCAAGATTTTAAATTTTCCACCGTACATGGTAGAGAATGAGAAGGGAGAAAAGAACTATTATTTATTGCATATCTCTTCTGTAACAAGAAGAGTTATAGTTAACTGTCATAGCAACCTTCTCAGGAAGATTCAAACTAAGCCTTGATCTGTATGGCATATCCCAGTTATTACTTGAATGCTGGAGGTCTGCTCTAAGGTTTAGTACTTATTTCCTTCCTGGTGCCACCACCTGTTGATTAAAGACATATTTACAGTAAGATAAAATAGCAACCACATTCGTGGTCTAGTTGGTTGATCTCATCTGAAATGGTAGTGGGTTTTAGTGGGATAATCTGATTTAGATTAGAAGTTAAAAGTTTGTACATTATATTCTAAAAAAGCTAAATGCAAATATCCTTGGATGGGCATATGCTATGCTTGTGTTACCTACCTGGTCTATGAGTTTGTGTTTCTAATTCACAGCAAGAATGTTCATTTTAAAGGCAGGGCAGTGGAACTAGCCTGAACCTTGATGCCTTGTACAATTGAGTTAACCTCTCTTTGTCTCTGTTTTCTGCATTTGTAAAATAAGGTAGTGTCTTATTTTAAGGTTTTCATAATGATTCGTTGAATTTTTCTGGGCAAAGAACCTGAAAAGATGTCAACGTATAGTAACTACTGCGGAAGCGTTCATGACTGCTACTGTTATGTCAGTATATCCAGGCTTTTAAAAGAAGACAACCTCAAGATGTACAAGCCATAATGTTCTCGATATGTTCACCACAGTCTCTCTTTACCTTCTCTCCAGGAACTGTATGAAGTCTTAGCACAAGACTCTGTGTCTGATGGAAGTAAGAAGTGTGAGCTCAGCTCAGAAGCTCTCTCTGTGCTGTGGGATCTTCTGAGGCTGGCTCCCCGGCCAGCCCAGGCTCTGCTAGAGCTCCTGCTTAGAGAGGACGATGACACTGGCCTCTGTGGCTGGTCCCTGCAGAAGGCGCTGGTAGACCTCACTCAAAAAGCATTGAAGACTTTGCAAGGCCCTGATGCTGGGCCCCCAGGGATAACAGATGCCATCTATGGAGTCTTGCGAACTCTGCGTTGCCCTGCAGAGCCCCTTGGAGTTGAGTTGCGCCTCCTGTGTGAGGAACTACTGGAAGCCTGCAGGACGGAGGGGAGCCCCCTGCAGGAGGAGCAGCTACTCAGCTGCCTGCTGCACAGGGCCGGGCGGGGCCTGCTGACCCTGTATGGCCATACCTATGCTGAGAAGGTCACGGAAAAGCCACTGAGGAGCACATCCTCAGGAAAAGGTATGTTCCCTTCCATACTCACCCTTGCTTTTAGGGCTTGTTCTCATTTCCTAGTGCTTCTGTAACAGAGACCCCAAGAAGAGACTTGCTTTCAAGAACAGAATTTTATTTTCTCAATTTCAGGTTAAGGGCAACAGCTATAGGGGAAGGCTCTCTCTGTCGACAATACATGGGGATTCTGTCTTTAAGCTTCTCTAGCCCTCAGGTTCTTGGTGATCTTCGTTGTTGTTGTTGTTATTGTTACGTACCACAGAGTGACTTGAGACTCATAGCAACCCTGTTTACAACCACTCTGAACCCTGCACTATCCTGAACCAACCTTATTATCTCTGATGTATCTACTCCCATTACCCTAGTCACTGAGTCGCTCCATCTCATCGAGTCCCTCCACCCTCCCAATCATGATCTCCCTCTCCAAGGACTGGTCCCTCCTTGCAATATGCCTAAAGTATGTCAGAGGAAGCTTCAGAATCCTTGCCTCAAAGGAACAGCCTGGTCCCATCCTCTCTAGGATGAACCTGTTTATTCTCCTAACAGTCCATGGTATATTCAGTACTCTCCTTCTGTCATCTCTAGTCATTGTCCAGTTTTCTGATACATAGCAAATAATTCTGAAGATCAAGGCCTGATGAGGCATACGTTAGTCTCCGGGCTGACATCATTGCTCTTTTTGGTTTGCTTTGGATTTTGTTTATTTTAAATTTTATACTGATTTATTTACAAAGTTTGAATACATTATTTTTTCACAAAAGATCCTTCCCATTTCCTTCACCCACCCATCGAATTGTACAACCCTATGATTAACACCCTATCCCCCCCATCCTCACCCCTCTACTTTTACCCTCCCCCCTTAGATCCTCATACTCATTCTACAATAATGGTTTTATACAGTATTTGTCCTTGTGGGACTGAGTTAGTTCACTCGGCATAATATTTTTCAGTCCCTCCCAAGTTAGGTAGTAATTTACAAAATCATTGCTCCTGTATGCTGTATAGTATTCCATTGTATGAAAGTACCACAACTTCTCAAGCCATTCGTTTGTGATTGGGCATCTGAGCTGTTTCTATGTTTCAGTGGTAAATAATGCTTCTGTTGGTGTACAAGTGTCCGGTTGAGCCTCAGTTCTCACTTTCTTAGGGTATATTCCAAACAGTAAAATAGCTGAGTCATATGGAATTTCTATGTTCAACATTTTGAGGAAGCATCAGACTGTTCCAGAGTGATTGTACAATTGTACAGTCCCACCAATAATGTAAAAGAATTCCTATCTCTCCATATTCTCTCCCAACATTTATTACTTGATGTCCTGTTAAACTTTGCCACTGCTACTGGAGTGAGGACATCATTGCTCTTAAGTATTCTGGAGAGATCCCTGACAGCAGACTTGCCCAGTGCAATTCGTAATATTTAAAGATGCTTTGGGCAGAGTGTTAAATGGTCCAAAAAGCATTAAAAGAAGATGGAAGGAGTATACAGAGTCACTATACCAGAAGGAATTGGCTGACGCAGAAGAATTTCGTGAAACTACATATGAGCAAGAGACTGTGGTGATGAAGGAGGAAGTTCAAATTGCTCTGAAAGAATTGAAACAAGGCTCTAGGAGTTGACAGCATACTAATTGACATATTTCAACCAACTGACGCTGCTCTGGATGAGCTCACTAAGTTGTGCCAAGAAATCTGGAGGACATTCACCTGGCCAACTGGCTGGAAGAGATCAAGATTTGTTCCCATTCCAAAAAAAGTGGTGCAACAGAGTGTGGAAATTATCACACAATATCACATGCAAGCAAGATTCTGCTGAAAATTATACAAAAATGACTAGATCAACACGTCACCAGAGAACTGCCAGCTGTGCAGGCTGGGTTCAGTAGAGGCCATGGTAGTAGGGATATTATAGCTAATGTTAGATGGATTTTGGCAGAAAGCAGAGAGTACCAGAGGGATGTCTATCTGTGCTTCATTGACTATACAAAGGGTTTTGACTGTGTGGATCACAACAAAATGTGGCTGGCTGAGAAGAATGGGAATCCCAGACCATTTGATTGTGCTAATGTGAAACCTATACTTAAACCAAGAGGTAGTCATCGGGACAGAGGAAGGAGACACTGCATGGTTCAAAATCAGGAAGGGTGGGATATATCCTGTCTCCATACCTTTTCAATCTGTATGCAGAACTGATCATCTGGAATGCTGGGCTGTATGAGGAGGAATGTGACATCAGGACTGGTGGAAGATTCATCTGCAGCTTTCAATATGAATTGAAGCTCAACATCAAGAAAACAAAGATTCTCACCACTGGGCCAGTTGGCAGCATCATTATGGATGGTGAAGAGATTGAAATTGTTAACAGTTTAGTTTGCTTAGCTCCACAATCAACACTCTTGGTACCAGCAGCCAGGAAATCAAGAGATGAATTGCATTGGGAAAGTCAGCTGTCAGGAACCTATCCAGAGTACTGAAGAACAACGATGTCAGGCCGGAAACTGAGATGTGCCTGATCCAGGCCATAGTCTTCGCAGTTGCATGCTATGCTTCAGAGAGCTGGACAGTGACTAGGGATAACAGAAAGAGACTTGATCCTTTGAGCTGTGGTGCTGGAGAAGAGTGTTGAATATACCGTGGACTGCTAGGAGAATAAATAGGTTTGTCCTGGAGAGGGTAAAACCAGGCTGCTCCTTGGAGGCAAGGATTCAGAAGCTTCGTCTGATATACTTTGGGCATGTTGCAAGGAGGGACCAGTCCTTGGAAAGGGACATCATGTTTGAGAGAGTGGAGGGACAGTGTGAGAGAGGAAGACCCTGAATGAGATAGATCACTTCAGTAATTGGGGTAATGGGAGTAGGTGTGTCAGAGACAGTGTGGTTGGCACAGGATAGAGCAGCTTTCAGGGCTTTTGTACATAGGGTTGCTATGAGTCGCAGGCAATTCAACAGCACATAACAACGACAACTACAACAAGGACCAAAAGTGTTGATTGTTTATATGTCAGCTACTTTCCTCCTATTTGTGCTTCTCTCTGTTCTTTGTGCAGCTCAGAAGGGGTTAGATTTAGTTTACACCCTGCACTGATATGCCTCATCAATATAATAAATATTTCCAAATAGGGTTACACCCACAGTTGTAAGGGTTAGAATTTCAGCATATGCTTTAGAGGTGCACAGTTCAGTCCAGAACTGAGATCTATCACTCAATAATTCTAAGTTCCTCAACATCTCAAGGACCTCTATGTTACCCACAAAATCTAAGAAAAGAGGTGAGGGAAAAGAGGCATGGTCTTTTGTAAAAGTACAGATTTTATAGTCTAAGGAGGTGGTGGATGTTGTTGTTAGGTGCCATCAAGTCAAGCACGACTCATAGTGAACCTATAACAACAGATCTGAACCCTGTTCTGTCCTGTGCCATCATGCCTACTCTTCCTGACACACTAGAGCCCATTGCAGCAATCACCAGGTCAATCCACCTAGTGGAGGGTTTTCCTTTCCTTCAGTGGCCCTCCACCATTCTCAGCATCATGTCCTTCTCCAAGGAACATGCACAAAGTATGTGAGGTGAAGCCTCATCATTCTTGCTTCTGAAGAGCACTCTGACTACACCCTCTCCAAGACATATCTGTTTGTTCTCTTGGCGGTCAATGTTGTTCTCCAACACCACAGCTCAGAGACATCGATTCTTTTCTGTCATCCTTATTCATTGTCCAGCTTCCAGATGCATAGCAAGTAATCAGAAAGACTATGGCCTGAATCAGATGCACCTTAGTCCTCAAACTTACACCTTTACTCCTTAATAATTTGGAGAAGTCCCTAACTGCAGATTTTCTTCCTAGTCTGAGGAAGTTGTTGTTAGTTGCTATCAAAATGATTGACTCATGGTGACACCATATGACCTTTTAGAAGTAGGTCACCAGACCTTTCTTCCAGGGTACTTCTGGGTGGGTTTGAAACACCAACCTCTCAATAGGAGTCTCTTGCCATTATGCAGAGATGGTAGAGATGGCGGGACCAGGGAAGTTGAGGCAATAATAGTAGCAGGAAAGAGCTTTCCAAGGTTTACAAAATAAAACAAAGAATCCTTAAGATAGTAGTGTAGCAAACCCGATTAAAGTTTTTGGAAGCCCAGACTCACATCCGTAAGCAGCACCCAGGGTAACTGCAGTCAAGAAATCAAAAGAAGTTTTGATGTTCAAGACTTGTCCAAGGTGCTAGAGAGCAACAATGTCAGTTTAAAGACAGAGGTGCTCCTGATCCAAGTGATAGTCTTCTCAGTTCCTTTCTGTGCATCTGAAAGTTTAAACAATTAATAAGATGACAAAAGTGAAAATGATGCCTTGGCATTGTGGTTCTAGAGAAGAGTACTGAACATCCCATGGGCTGCCAAAAGAACAAACAAGTCTGTCTTGGAGGAAGTACAAACAGGCTGCTTCTTAGAGACAAGAACAATGAAACTTTGTCTCACATAATGTAGGCTTGTTGTCAAGAGGGGCCAGTCCATGGAAAAAGGCATCTTGTTGGGAAAGGTGAGGACCAGCAAACAGAGGAAGAGCCCTGACAAGCTGTACTGACACAGTGACAATCCCAGTGGACTCAGCACACGAGAGACTAGGTGAAGCAAGATAGGGCAAGGTTCAGATCTGTTCACAGAGTCACAAGTCATAGTCGACTCGGTGGCACCCAACACCACCACCACATCAGTTGGTTTCTTAAATAGGGTCTAACTGAGGAAGGATGGGCTCCTGGTTTACTAGTAGCCTTGGTTTGATTTTCAGTCTCTCCAGATCACCTAGATCCCGAACGAGCAATGCTCACCCTGTTCTCCAATCCTGACCCAGCCCAAGCATGGAAAACAACCTATTTCTACTGCCTGAGCAACAGCAAGCACTTCCTGGAGCAGATCCTGGTAAGGCAGCCTTTATTATTTTCTCCCACAGACGTACTCGGGGGTCCTCTTTAGGTCTTTACATTCTCTCATTTCTGTCTCACTCTTATCCAATCCAGTGGCATCCAATCAGTGGTGAGTCATTTGGCTCTGTCCACCCTACACTCCGTAGAGAAGGGAGACAGAGAACAAGTATGATTCGTAGTTAGAGTTGTAGTCATTGTGTGTGGGTCCTTTGGCAGGAATTAAAGCATTAGATCTGTAATAAGCTTTCTGGAGGGTGTGAGGAAGAAAAAGCAAAGGCATAACATGCTGCCTAGGTGAAAGAGGAATTGCATGAATAAACGTGTGTGTGTGTGTGTGTGTGTGTGTGTGTGTGTACCGTCAAATCAGATCTGACTGGTACAGGAGGAGATTCTCCCTCCTTCCCCGGCAGAGCATCTGGTGGATTCAAACCGTGCACCTCTGGGATTGTAGTTGCAGCTCCTTGCCACTAGGCCACCAGAGCTCCCCATGAATAAACTTTTCCTTCCAGATTAGGGATAAGAACTAAGCCTCAATTTAATTAATCACATACCAATCTCCTCCCATGTCCCGTACTCTATGCTGGCAACTGGGGCTTCAGTAGAATCAGTCCCTGCTCTCAAGGAACTTACACTCTAGTATTTCTTTGAACATTTCTTTTCCTCAATATGCCACGTCTATGACTGTCAGAAATCACCCTACTAAACTAACGAGCTTTTTACCCCAGTAATAAATGAGATTTCTTCTTTCTAGGCCACATAACTGCCTCTCGCAACTACTTTTGGCTTACAGGTGACGGCACTAACCCTGTTGAAAGAGGAGGACTTCTCCAGCCTCAGCTGCCTGCTGGAGAGAGAATTCAGGCCCCTCAGTCGGCTGCTCGTGCTTCTGGGCTGGACACACTGCCAGAGCCTGGAGTCAGCGAAGAGCCTGCTCCAGGCACTCCACAGAACCCAGGTAACTCACTCTCAGCCTGGACTGTTCTAGAGAGGAGCACCGGGTGACTTTGTGCTCACGCACAAGAGAATCCTAAAAGTTGGTCACAGACTGACTCCAGGCTCAACAGGTGCATCTCTTGGTCAGCATCTCTTTTTTTCTCCCTCATCTACACAGGATCAGGGCAGCGATAAGCTCCTCAGGGAAGCCTGTGAAGGGTTGTGGGCACACCTGGAAGTCTTGGAGTGGTGCGTACAGCACAGCAGGTAAGGCGTCTGTGCGGCCAGCCACCTTTGACCCTTGGGCATGTCTGAATATGCCCATATGTGGCCCTTTCAAGACATCTTTCATGCGAATGTTTTGATAATATTGACCTGCAAATATAATTATGATAATGTTAATAATTATCTTCCCAATTGTTAAGTGAAGGGGAAAATACAAATAGTGATTGGGTTATCCCCATAAGGTTATAATCAGAGGAACATTCTGAAGGATAACTAGGGAAAAAGAACATTTCATGAGCACTCTCTCTATGCCAGATATTGTCTAAGCTCTTTAAATGCATGATTTCACTGAAGCCTCACAGTAATCCTCTGTGGTCATGGTGGTGCTGGTGGTTATGTTCCATGAAGTCAGAACCAACTCATAGCGGACCCTCCAGCAGGATTTCAGAGGCAGTAAATTGCGTAGGAGGAGATTGCCCATACACATACACACACACGCACGCACGCACACACACACACGGAGTACCTGGTGGATTTGAACTACCTTTGCCTTGGCAGTACAGATCCTTAACACTGTGCCACCCGAGCTCCCTATCCTATGGTATCCAGAGGATACCAATATTATCAATAGCAATACCATCCTCATTTTAAAGGTAGAGCAACCGAAGCCCACAGATGTTAAGTAACTCACCCAGGTCACACAGTGAGCAATTCACTGTCCACGTTCATAGCCATATGTTTTCTTGGATCATGCTTTCTGTCAACGAAATTGAAAGCTTATTGAGAAGTGTATCTGGTCCTGTGTTTCCCTCATAAGTAGCCTTAGATCTACAATCTTCCGTAGACATGGGTTCTTATTTTGTTCTTCACTTACCTCACCTTCACTTCCTGAAGTAGAATAGACAGGGGAAGTTGTAAAATTCTTTCAAAGCTAAGCCAGAGAGTCTGTAGAAATTAACTTTAATGTGCAAACTCATTCCAAATGCTGCCCATCAGAAAGCCCTTCCTAGGTCCTTTCTAGATAAATAGAGCCAAGTTAATGTATATACTTCCTTTAAGGTAAATAAATGTTATGTTCATTCCCAGACCAACTGAAATTTTGTTTTTAGGGAAATGAAACCTGTGGTGTTATAGGCCAGAGAGAACAAGTGGGAATGGAGACTGGTTTCTAAACTTTTCCACTTCATCTTCCCACTTTTCCTTTCAGCAACCCCATACCAAAGAGAGAGCTCTTGTGTCATTTACATGGTGGAGACAGCCACTCAGTGCTCTACTCTCTCCATCATCTCACAAACCTTCCAGGCCTCAGGGAAGAAGATGTTCTCAAGCTCTTGCATAAATTGCCAGCCAGGGAACCCCAGGAAGAGCATGGTAAGTCAGCAATGGAGTGGTGTGGGTAGGATCCCCTCTTAGATGCCTTTGCCTGTGCTTCTCCCAGGGCAAGGTTTCTCCAGATGTGATGTCTGGGATCTATCAAGACAGTAGTCCCCACTTAGTCCTCGGTAGCTGTTCTCTAAATTAGCTCTATTGGCCCCTGTAATTAGGGGCTATCGGAGCATTTCTCTTCTTTCTTGGTAAGTTGTAGGAAATCCCATGAATATAGTCTCTCCTCCTTTGTCCTCTTGGATCCATCTCAGGAATCACCGACTTTGACTGTTTTCAGTGAAACAGAGTTAGGAACTGCCTCCTGAATTCACAGCATTGTCACTTCGGTGCTTACAGTAATCCTGGGTCAGTCTTCTCCCACTGCCCCTTCTCTTCATACTCTGTTGAACAAATAAGAGGACTTGAAGACAAATGTGCCTGAAACAGTAGCAAAGCCTTGCTTAAATGTTTGGTGGGTTTTTTTCCCTTAAATTTCAAGAACATGTTAACAGACTTTTTGAATAAAGTCTCTAGTAAAGTTAACCACACCATAAGGGACTGATTTGTTGAATGGCTTTGGGATCTTTGTGGAGTAGACATGTGGAGGTCAAGGGGGAAAAGAATTGGAGAGAACTGAAAGTTAATGTTGATTACAGGAGAAGCCTGGAAGGAATGTACATCAAACTGACAGAAGGGAGAGGGGGTGAACACTTAGCATCCTCACAGAAGTAACATCTTGGCTTCCATCATACTTGAAGCCCATGCCTGGGAGAACCAGCTCTGAAGTTCTGCCTGTTTCTGTCTATAATTCAGATTCAGCTGATGCCCTGGTCCCTGACCACCTGGGCCAGTGTCAGAGTGTGACACTTTACCAGGGCTTCTGCGCCATGAAGTACGCCATCTATGCCCTCTGCGTGAATTCACACCAGCACTCTCAGTGCCAGGACTGCAGAGAAGGTCCTTCTGAGGGCTTGGCCTCAGCCAGGGAGCCGCTGAATACATTGCTCTCCTCCCCAGGTACTCTTCTTCCACTTCTCCCTGGTAGCAACCTATTCCAGTGAATTCTTACCATGAGAACCCTTTTCCACCAGGATTGGGAGTGGGCTTGATTTTATTGCATTTAGGAATCATTTCATCCAGTTACTAGTCTCTAAAAATAAAAAGGTATATTAAGAAAGCAAGTGATTTTCCAGAGTTCTAACAGAGCTTGATTATTTAGTACACTGTTTTCTAAACATTTTTCAACTAAAATTAAATTAACATTTCACATTACATATATCTTCTTGAGACTGTGTAAATTGAGTATATGTATAGATCTGTGTGTTTCCATGTAAACGGAAACTACATTTTAAGAAACAATACTTGTTCAATCCACCAGATGCTCTGCTGGAGAGGGAGGGGCAATCTCCTCCTGTACCTGTCAGATCTGATTTGACGGTACACACACACAAAAGAATAATTAAAAGAAAAAAGAAAGAAATAGTACTTGTCCAAATGGAGCACAGTCTTATTTTTTTCTGTTCCAATTTAATTTTATTAAATCAGTTTCATAGTTTTCAGCCTACAGTGTGAAAAGACCAGCCTAAATGTCTATTTTCTCTTACTTTTCTTAATAACTTGTAATTGTGTAACCTGCTTTCTGTGGTCAGTAAGATAACTGACTTCCTTCTGGCTTTGAACTAGACCTTTACCTCTAAGCATGGTCATGTTTCATCTTGTCAGTAATTCTCTAGAGATCTGGGTAGTCAGTGATAAGCTGATTTCTGGTGGCCTACTGGTAAGGACCTGCACTACCAACCTAAAGGCACATGGTTCAAATCCACCAGCAGGAGGAAAATGGACAGTCTCCTCCCTTGTGATTACACTGCTTCTGAAAATGCCTGGAGGCTCAGCTATGAGTCTCTTCCCACTCAGTAGGACATAACAACAATAACAACAGCAACCCATACGATCTTCATTCTAAGAAATGAAATATGGAGTACTTATCAGAGATGAGGAGTAATAGATAAAATAATGAGTGATCAATGTCCTTGTACTTAAGACACATTGTTTTTTCCCCTGCAGAAAGGCATGGTTGTATACTCCTTGGACAACAATCCCTCTTACTCTTCTGACTGTAACCCCAGTACCCTTATTGTTGTTGTTGTTGTTAAGTGCCCTTGAGTTGATTCCATCTCCTCCATGCCATGATATAGTGTTATTAGCACGAGCAGTTATAAATCCATTGCCTTCCTTGCTGTTGTTGTTAAGTGCCGTAGAGTCGCAGGTGCCTTCCTTAAAATTTTTTTTTTATTTAAATTTATCATTAATTTCCATAAAAATTTACAGAGACTTTGGATTTCCATTCATTCATTGTTGCACATTTCTCCCCTCCCAAGCTTCCCCCCTAGTACTCTACCCTCTTGGAAAAGTAAAAGAAAAATTCTTTCACTGTTTTACAAACCCTCCCCTAGGTCCACTCCACCACGCTCTAGACTCCTGTCATGACAAAACTACCTAATCACATATCCCTTTTAAACAGTTTTCTCCCTCATCTGTTTTAATGCAGTATACGTTGTTGAACCCATCTTTTTCAGTCTCCGCCCAACCCCAAGGTCAGTCCTGTTTTACAACAGTGGCACCGTGCAGTATTTGTCCTTTTGTGACTGAGATACTTCACTCAGCATAATGTCCCACGCAGTCCCCCATTTTTAATAATATTGCATGAGTTCCTTGTTTTTCAATGCAGCATAGGATTCCATTGTGTGAATATACCACAACTTCTCTATCCATTCGTTTGTTGATGGGCGAGTTGACTGCATCTCATAGCAATCCTATGAACAGCAGATCTGAACCTTGCTCTATCCTGTACCATCTTCATCATCTCAGATAGACTCGAACTCATTGAGGGTCTTGCTCTTTTCACTGACCTACCTTCCCAAGCATGATGTTCTTTTCCAAGGACCAGTTCCTCCTAACAACATGCTCAAACATGGGAGATGAGGCTTCACCCTTAGTCACTGTAAAATATAAAGTTATGATGGTATTTTAGTCTAGCAAGTAATGTTTCTAATGTGTACATTCTCTCTCTTCTCTCTGTGGCCTCTTCTGCTGTACACGTTTCTTATATTTTTTAAATCTGAGTGAAAGTTTATAAATCATATTTATGTTTTAGTGCAATCATTCAGAGTTGTTTTGTTTTGTAGCATTAATTAAAATTGATTAAGTACATTATCTAATCAAACCCTTATTATGCATGCTTCTTCAGGTGCTTCAGATCTCTTCTCCTCATGCCTGGCCAGGTGTCAACAGTATCTGTGCAGTATTCCAGACTCTCTATGCCTGGAACTTCTGGAAAACATCTTCTCATTGCTCCTCCTCACCTCTGCCGATCTCCATCCAGAGCCTCACCTGCCTGAGGACTATGCTGAGGAGGAGGATGTTGAGAGAAGGGACTCCGTGGGCTTGAGGTCCCCTTCAGAGAGCCCTCAGCATGGAGCTCAGTCGGAGAGGAATTTGGAGCAGGGTTTGCTGGGTGTTCCCAGAACATTTGCTCCTACTTTTGAAAACACTCTGAAGGCAGAGCCAAAAGACAGGTACCTGGAGACTCACGGACACAACTTTTTGGACTTAAAGCATTTTACTGGTGGCATCAGTGGATTCCTGGCTGATGAATTTGCAATGGGGGCCTTCCTCAAGCTTCTTCAGGAGCAAGTAGATAAGATCAGCAGCCACAGCTCCTCTGAGAAGCCCACACTCCCAGAAAGCCACAGCTGCCCAGGAAGCAGAGATGGGCTGCAGAGCCGCCTGCAACGGTTTTCCAAGGTTCTCTCTGAGGCCCAATGGAGATATAAGGTGGTAACAAGCAACCAGGGCTCAGGTGAGAGAGGGAGTACCATCCCCAGAGCTGGGGGTCCAGACAGTGGGGAGGGAACACATCCAACCAGGAACAAGGGAGAAAGCTGGAATGCATGGCAGTCATATAACTAAGGGCAGAATACGGGACAATTGTTGCATGTCTCAAAGCCTAGTCTGAGCCTTCGCTTCCTACCTTTTACCTCATGAGGAAGGTCAAATCAAAGTTAAGTCACTCTTTTAGATGACCCCTATCAACTTTCTATTTCAGAGGAGCATCTGACACTCTCCCAAAGATACCAATCCATTGTCACACGGCATGCCAGTCATGCCAGTCTCCGCCGGGGTCGTCGCACCAGAAAGAGCCGAGCAGGTAAGCTGAAGTACTCTATTCTCACATCCTGTCCCCACGTACCAAGCACAAGCACAAGCATGTGGTTTATTGTTACCTGTCTGGGTTTTTTTTTTGTTTTTGTTTTTGTTTTTTTACCGTAAAGCACATGATCAAAACAAACAAACAAAAATTATTTAAAGCAGCACCTAATTAAGTCAACCGTCCTTTTCTGTGGGAGCCGGTGTGCAATGGCTGTGAACAGCAACTCCTTGGTAGTGTACGCAGCCTGTTGCATGTATGGGTTGCCCTACGGGACCTTGGAGGCAACTCTTGCGGGGGGGGGACCCAAAAATGTTTTAAGGTTATCCTAGTCCAACACCCCCAAGATAACCTCTATTAATAGTTTGTTAAATATCCTCCCAAAAATTTTTCATGGACTATAACAGATGTCTACATTGTCTCATGTATATAGATATACCATATTATGGGGTGTATATTAAGAATTACAAATGGGCAGTTTCCTCCCATGCAATTTACAGCTTCTGAAAACCCACTGAAGGGTCAGCTGTGAGTCTCTTCCAACTCAGTGGCAATCAATTTTGAGTTTTTTTATTAAAAGTGGAAATAACCAACATCAAATTCTGTAATTAACAGAATTATTTGTTAACATAAGATTTAATATCAACCTGAATTCAGAAGAGTAGAAACAAGAAATGAGGGATAGGATTACTAATGTCAGATGAATCTTGGCTGAAAGCAAAGAATTCCAAAAAGATGTGTAAATGTATTTTATTGACTATGCAAAGGCATTTGACTGTGTGGATCATAACAAAGTATCAATAACATTGAGAAGAATGGAAATCCCAGAACACATAATTATGTTCATGTGAAACCTAAAAATAGACCAAGATACTGGCCTGAACAGAAAAAGGAAACACTGCATGGTATAAAATCAAGAAAGATGTGTATCAGTATTGTACCCTTTCTCAGACCTGTTCAAATTGTATACTGAACAAATCATACTAGAAGCTGAACTATATGAAAAAGAATGTGACACCAAGATTGAAAGAAGACTCATCAACAACCTACATTATGTAGCTGACACAACCTTGCTTGTTGAACCTGAAGAGGACTTGGCACATTTACTACAGAAATTCAAAGACGATAGCCTTCAATATGGATTATATCTAAACATCAAGAAAACAAAAATCTGCACCACTGGGCCAAGAGGTAATGTTATGATAGGTGGAGAAAATATTGATATTGTCACTGATTTCATTTTACTTGGATCCATAGTCAATACCCATGAAACAGAAGTCAAGAAATCAAAAGAAGTATTATACTGGGGACATCTGCTGTCAGGGACCTCTCCAAAGTTCTAAAGAGCAAGGATGGCAGCTCCAAGAATAAGGTACACCTGTTCCAAGTCATGGTGTTTTCAGTTACTTGCTATGCATCTGAAAGTTGGACAATGAATAATGATGACAGAAGAATAGATGGTTTGGAGTTTTTTTATTGGAAAAGAGCACTGATTATCCCATGGATTGCAAAAAGAACAAACAAGTCTGTCCTGGAGGAAATGCAACCAGCATGCTCCTTAGAGGCAAGGATGGTGAAACCTTGTCTCTCATACTTTGAGCATGTCAGTAGGGGCCAGTCCCTGCACAAGAATATTATGCTGGGCAAGGTGGACGGTCAGAGAAAGAAAGAAAACCTTCAACAATATGGACTGACACAGTGACCATAACAATGAGTTTGATGATATCAGAGTTGGTGAGGATGATGCAGGATAGAGCAAGATTCATATCTGTTGTTCATAGAGATGCTTTGAGTTTTAGGCAGGTCAGTAGCACCTAACAACAGTGTACTAAACTGAACGAGCCATGGTGGCACAGTCATTAAATGCTCAGCTGCGAACCAAAAAAGTAGTGGTTCAAACCCACTAGCTGCTCTGCAAGAAAAAAACGTGGCAGTCTGATTCCGTAAATATAGTCTGTAAAACCTTTTGGGCAGTTCTGCCATAGGGTCTCTGTAAGTGGGAATTGAACTGATGACAACTTAAATGTGCTAAACAGTAGTAAGTATCTTGAATGAAGGAATGAGACATAAATCAAACCTTCAAAGAATTAAAACTTTAAGTCACTATGTGATTTATTTAAAGCAATGTGGATGAGTCTGGAAGACAATAGGAATGGGTGAAAGGAAGGACAATGTGAAGGGAATGGTTAAAAAAAAGAAAGGAATGGATGATTAGAAATTGTGTACATGACAGTTAATAGCCTGGAACAGGACAAGCACTACAAGGGGAATTGGGGAAGGAGGAGAGAGGAAAGTTTGCCTGAAACTAATCTCTTAAACAAACATCACTAAAATTTTTTAAAAATCATATTTAAAAAAAGGTTTACAGCTTAAAAAAAATTTAAAATTTACTGCATAGGACCAAGGCTTTGCAACACTGGCCTAAACCAACAAGCCTCAAAGCTGAGGTGCCCATGAGCACTTTTAGGAAATTATCCTGAGTGGGTGTATCTTGTTACCAACCTGAATTATAGTCTTTTGGATTTAAAAAAAAAAAACATATTGCATGCATAACATATATAAAATAATAAAAAACAGAATGGAGTCACTGCCTGAAAAATAGAAGAACTTTCTAGAAAGGATCAATATGTCCTTCAGATGTCAGGGGAATAGACTTTATGGAGTTCACGCCTGACCTGAGCACAAAAGAATGAGTCGAATGTAGCTAAATAAACATAGAGGCCAGGGTACTGGGCAAGGGACTGGCTGTCATAAGCAAAACCTGAGGGAAATCTGGACTGAGTTGCTGATGGCTTCAAGCTGCTAAAGGAGTTATTTTGGATCAGATACTTGGAATCCAAATGACCATCCAGCTCAAGAATGTGTAGCTCGCCTTTATTTTTCCTTGAGTTGTCCATTCCTCCTATGGGATGCTGCATATGGGTTTAGTTTACCAAACAGCTGTGTTGTGAGGAAGCCCAGTAAGGGAAGGGACCCCTTTCCATAGGCTAGTTTAGGCCTATTCTCTCCTATGAGAATACTAAAGTGTGTAATACATAAGCTCTGGTGGCCTGGTGCTAAGAAGGTACACTGCAATTCCAAAGACATCTGGTTCGAATCCACCAGCTGCTCTGCTGGAAGAGGATGGACAGACTCCTCCAGTTATTAACTGCCTCTGAAAACCCACTGGAGGGTTAGCTATGAGTCGGTTCTGACTCAGCAGCCACAACAAGAAGAAGGTTTGTAAGGATAACAAGACACCATCGCAAGTCCTAGCATTCCATGAAAGCAGTTCAACTCAACTCACTGTCACCGAGTTGGAACGAGCTCATCACTGACCTGGTGGGCTTTTCAGAGACTGGAGCTCACACAGGAGGAGATTGTCGATCTTTCCCTAGCAGAGCAGCTGGTTTTTCAAACTGCTTGCCTTTGAGTTGGCAGTGCAACTTCTTACCCACTAAGCCACCAGAGCTCCTTCTATGAAAACAGGTGCTAGGGAAAAGCTTTGAGTCAAGGACTTTCAAAACTTTGCCTTTTGATGGGCCAGGCCTTATACTTTGATTTCCTTTATTTTCAAATATACAGACACTTTTTCTATATACAAAGACTTTTGACCTTTCTTTACAGTCTATTATTTTTTGTTCATAATAGATGTGCTGTTTATTTTGGCAGACTCTTGACACAGTATTAGTGAGCAGATGGGGGTCGCTGAGTCCTAGAAGTAACTTAAAAGCTCTGGGTCTCTGAGACCCACCAACTTTGCACTTTTTACAATTGTAGGAGTTTATGGTTGATTTTCTTTCTTCTTAATACCTCTAGATGGCCGAGACAGAGATTCCAACCCAGCTCTGGAAAGTACAAGTAGTGAGCTGAGCACAAGTACATCAGGTATGGGGTTCCAATCAGCTGCCAGCTTTAAGCTTTGTCCTAATAGGAAGCTGCCACACACCATGGTTTAAAAACCAGGACTAAGCTATTCATCTCGTGTTTTAGAGGCTTAGTTCTGCAGATGGCCAAGCTGATTTCAGCTGCCAGAAGGGAAATGACTCTTTCACTTTCAACTGAGTTACTTCTCAGTAGAGGAAAAGTAGAGGTGAAGATCCAAAGAAGGTCATTGGTACTTACAATTTAATATTAAAAGAGAGTAGTGCTGGTTTGCCTTCTTTACATGAGGAAAACATAAAGATCCATTTACAGATCTTACAGAGAAGGATTTTGACAAGATAAGCCTTCAGTGGGTGGTGACAGCAGTTTAGTTTTTCTTCCATTCATATTGCTTCCTTGGCTTTCCACATTCTTATTTCCCAACAGAGGGCAGTCTGAGCACTGCATCTGCGCAGAACGAGCTTACTGGCCGGTTGCAGCCCCAGCCTCAAAGTTCACTCATCCCCATGATGTTCTCCCCGCCAGAGTCGCTGCTGGCATCCTGTATCCTCCGAGGGAATTTTGCTGAAGCTCATCAGGTGAGGAGAGCACTAATAGGAAGTGTTAGGAGCTGAGAATATAGGGGAGCTAGTGCACCTAATCCAAACCATAGTCTTCTCAATTACTTGTGATGCTTCAGAGAACTGGACATTTCCTAAAGATGACAGAAAAAGAATTTATGCCTTCGAGTTTTAATGCTGGAGAAGAGTCATGAATATACCATGGACTACCAAGAAACAAATAGGTCTGTCTTGGAGAGGGTAAAACCAAATCTCTCCTTGGAGGCTAGGATTTTGATGTTCTGCCTCATATACTTTGGGCACGTGGCCAGGAGAGACCAGTCCTTGGAGAAGGACTCATAATGCTCATAAAAGTGGAGGGACAATGCAGAAGAGGAAGACCCCAGATGAGATACAGTAGTATCTGGGGCAGTGAGGGTTGGTGTATCAGAATTAGACTGGCTCAGAACAGGGACGGGTTCAGAGCCACTGTACATAGGATCATACTATATTGTTTATTTTTAATTTAAGGCTCTCGTTTAGAGTCAACAAGACCTCAGGGAGAACCTCTGTATTTAAAAGTCGATTGTGTTTATATTTTGGAGGAACATTCTTCTAAATGGTACAGCACTCTTCTCTCAATATGTTGTACTGAGGTAACCTGAGGTTGCTGTGATGCTGAACCTTGTGCCACTGGGGTTTCAAATGGCATAACGATTACCCATGGTGGACAGTGTTTGGGGGAGCTCCCAATTTAAGACAGGTTTGGAAGCAGGAGTGGCATCCACTTCCTAAACAACATGCCTCTAGAAACTCTGTGAACTTTGAGAAGCAACTATAGTTATAGAAAGGCTTCAGGTCTTTTGTTCATAGGGTCACTGAGTTGTGCTCAACTCGATGGCAATCAACAACAACAACAGGCCACATATAATCATGGGAAAGAATGGTAAGCCAGCTCCTGGATAGCTGTTGGTCTTGGGTGAAGTTTAGATGTATGCGCCACAAGAGCTCCTCAGAAGCTCTCAGGTGGCCACCACTGAGTAAAAGCAAAAGGGAGTTTGATTTAGAGACCCAGCCTAGAGGAGATTAAAAATGTTCAGTTGTCTTCTTAACATCAACAGTATTTTAACCAGGTGAAAGAAAATATTCAGCCACAATCCTACTGCTTAAAAAAATTAAAATATTTTTGTCTTTTTCTTTTGTATTCATTCTCTGAATGAATGCATTTTTATGTAGTTAAAAATCCTAGTGCAGTTTCCAATAACAGATACAATGTCAGTTCCATATACATGAAAGTGTTGGGAGCTAGCAAACTAGTATATTCCTATTGTGTAGAAAAATAACACAGGAATAGACATCAGAAAGACGCTTAGCCTCTCTAAGCTTCAATATCTTCATTTGCAAATACAGTTATATACTTGATTTTCCTGCCTCTTGAGAATGTTAAGAGGATTATATAAAAGCTCTAAGAAATACAAGAACCTTTTGTTGCTTAAACTGGATAGCATAGAACCCTCTACTATTCTTTTGTTTAAAGGTCTCTTGGTGTATGTGGTACATTAGTCCCTTAACATGCATATCAGATTTATTCTTTCTTAGGAATTTAATCACTAAGGAATAATTCTAGTTGAAATGTAGGTGATGAGATTTTTGCTTCGCTTCATCTGATAATTTTTTTAAATTGTGATTTAAGTAAATGTTTACAAAGCAAATTGATATTTCATTCAACCATTCATATACATTTTATTTTATAATATTAATTCTAATACCTGCAATATCTTCTGGTCATTTTAAATTCTGTGCTGTAATGAAAACTGTGATCCTCTGAGAAGATTAAGCCTCATGCCAGCCTTTCTTATACCCAAATGCAGAGAAAGCAGACAGAATTCTCTGGTGCTTGACTGCTAAAAGTCTTCCCCTCCTTGTCACCTTTTTGGGCTTTGATAGGTTATTTTTTTAATAAAAACTTTCTTATTTAGCTTGTAAATATTATAAGAAGCCATAAAAATAAATAAGCAGGCGAGCTCTGGTGGCCTAGTGGCAAGAAGCTGCACTGCAATCCCAGAGGTGCACGGTTCAAGTCCATCAGATGCTCTGCTGAAAAAGGAGGAACAATTTCCTCCTGTACCAGTCAGATCTGATTTGACGGTACACACACACAAACAAGAAAACAAATTTTAAAAAAAAGAAATAAATAAGCAAAAGAACAAAAAATACTTTTAACCCTATCTTCCAAAACAACAAATATTAAAAGTGTAGTATGTTGGTTTGAGTTTGTTGGGTTTTTTTTTAGTTGAGGATCCCTGGTGGTGAATCAGTTGGCTGCTAACTAGAAGATTGATGGTTCAAATCTATCAGATGTTCTCCAGGAGGAAAAATCTGGCCCTCTGCTCTTCTAGCAAACTCTATAGAGGGCTATTTCACTCTGCTCTATAAGTATTGTTATGAGTCAGAATCAACTTGACCATACAACATATGTTCATCAAGCTTTATCCAAACTGTGTATAACTTTCATTTAGCTGAAATTATTCTGAACTTAAAACTTTTCTATCCCTGCTTTTTTTACTTTATATGATAAACATTAGGCTTATAATTTTTGTATTTTCATTATCTATTTTTTAATGAAAGTTTACAGAGACTTTGGATTTCCATTCATTCATTGTTGCACACTTTCCTCCGCCCCTCTACCCCAGTTTGCTTTTCTCTTTGAAAAGTTAAAAAAAAAATTTTACAATCCCCCCCACAGTCCAATGTCCACTCCACTGTGCAGCTTTCCTTCTGGACTCCTGTCATGACAACAATACCTAATCATATATTCCTCATAAACAGTTCTCTCCATCATCTGTTTCAATGCTGTATATATTATTTATCCCTTCTTAGTTTTCCCCCAACTCTGTCAGACCTGCTTTACAACAGTGGCACTATGCAGTATTTGTCCTTTTGTGACTGAGATATTTCACTCAGCATAATGTCCTCCAGGGTCACCCATGTTGTATAATATTCCATGAAGTCCTTGTTTTTCAGTGAAGCATAGTACTCCATTGTGTGAATATATCAAAGCTTCTGTATCCATTCATTTGTTGATGGGCACTTGGGTTGTTTCCAGCTCATTGCTATTGTGAAAAAAGCCGCAGTAAACACGGGTGTGCATATATCTGCTTGGGTGGCAGTTCTGGTTTCTTTAGGGTATATTACCAGTAGTAGAATTGCTGGGTCAAATGGTATTTCTATTTGCAACTTTTTGAGAAAGCACCATACTGCCTTCCGTAGTGGTTGCACCATTTTACACTCCCACCCACAGTGAATAAGGGTTCCAGTTTCTCCACCACCTCACCAGCATCTGTTGTTTGCTGCTCTGTTAAATTTTGCTATTCTGACTGGGGTGAGATGATATCTCATAGTTGTTTTGTATTTTAATGATCTTATAGCTGTCCTTAACCATTCTCTTGTTACTAAACATTTATATAATTTCAACTTTGTAATAAGTAGTGCTGGGATGATCACCTTTGAACATTAGGCCTTTTGAATTATTTCCATAAGAAAGCTGCTCATAAAAATGCCTGGGATAAAGGATATAAACATCATTAAAGATTTCTGGATTATCAAAATACTTTTAAAAATAGGTGTCTTTGGGAGCTCTGGTGGCAAGAAGCTGCACTGCAATCCCCGAGGCACACAGTTCAAATCCACCTGATGCTCTGCGGGGGAAGGAGGGACCATCTCCTCCTGTACCAGTCAGATCTGATTTGACGTTACAAACACACACACAAATAATAAAATAAAAATAAAATTAAAGAAAGAAATAATAGATGTCTTTCTACCACCACTCCCCCAGAATTTGTATTTGTGTTTTCTTGTGCTAGATACAAGATTGTACTAATATCAGTTAAATTCCTGGGATTACTGGTGAGGGAAATCTTTTTGATGATGATGATGTATTATTGTTCTGTGTGTGTGTGCCATGAAGTCAATTCCAACTCAAACAGGAGAGTGAATTTACACCCCAGCCCCTACCCCCACTGCCCACTCCCCAAGCTTCTTGGGCTGTCCTCTGTGGGAGCGGATCACCAGGTCTTTACTCAGCTGGGAGGTGTGAACCTCTTACATTTCTGTTAGCTGAGTGCTTAACCATTGCACCACCAGGGCTGCTTCCATATGTCTTGTTGTTGTTGTGTGCTGTTGAATCAGAACCAACCCAGAGCTAACCCTCCTTCAGGTTTTCAGAGGCAGTAAATTGCACAAGAAGAGATTGCCATCCTTCTCCCGCAGAGCAGCTGGTGGCTTCGAACCTCATCCACATGTGTTAGTCGTATTTATAACAGTCAACACTTCCCAGACCCTACAAGCAGGTGTCTCTATAGTCTAATGATTGGTACGATCTCACACCTATACACATTCTCTCAGCCCACACAGGACAATCACAACTCCTCTCTCTCATGACAGGTGGTGTTCACGTTCAACCTGAAGTCATCACCCAGCGCAGGAGAACTGATATTTGTGGAGCGCTACCAGGACGTGATCCAGGAGCTGGCCCGAGTAGAACACAAAATAGAAAACCAGAACTCAGACAGGGGTAACAGCACCATCAGGAGAACCGGCAGTGGCCGCTCCACTCTGCAGGCCATTGGCAGTGCTGCTGCAGCAGGTCGGGTTCTCCCACCTCCACTGTGGGTAGGGAGAGGTGTGAATCAGGCTCACCATGAGGGGGAGTGGAAATCCAGAGCAGGACATCCGCTCCAAACACAAGGAATACTGGCACTTTCATAGTCTGTTAACCGTGCCTCCCTCTTTGTCCATGCTATTCACATACCCACTGTTTGAGGAACTCCACAAAGCCTAACGTGGCTTTACTGATAAAGCCTGAATGCTATTTCAGCTTGTGTTATAGTGGATGCTTTATTTGGCTTCCGGAAATGATTAGAATTCTACTTATTTCCCCACATAATTATTCAGAGAAGAAGCATACTATTTTACTTCTCTGCAAAGAAGTTGCACATTCACGTCTTGGACCTGAGAGTCATAGGTCTCACTTTCCAACCCAGGCCATCCTATGAACAAGCTCATCCTTTCATCATAGTGAATTTCACTTGAAATGGAATCTTGTTCCCTATTACCCCACTTGTCTAGACTCTTATCAAACTTACTGTCACATATTGCTCCTAATCAGTAACCCCAGAAATTTCCTTGTGTAGAAGAACTTCAGACATGCTTTAAAAACAGCCAATTTTTATCATGAAAGTGGTAGTTAGACTCATTTTGCACTTTTTTACTCCACTGCTGGGTTTCCAGGCATGGTGTTTTACTCCATATCTGATGTGACCGACAAACTGCTGGGCACCACTGGAGACCCCATCCCCACACTCCAAGAGGACTTTTGGATAAGCAGCACCCAGGTGGAGCCCACTTCCCCCCTGAAAGAAGTCCTGGACGACCTCAGCCCCCCTGCCATGGCCACATTTGACCTCGCTTGCTGTCAGTGCCAGCTTTGGAAAACGTGCAAACAGCTCTTGGAAACAGCTGAACGGCGTCTCAACAGCAGCCTTGAGAGCCGGGGTGAGTGTGCTTCTTCAGCTTTGTCCTGTAATCCTCACGTGAGGGCAGGCAGTTCTGAGAGATGTGGCCAGGAGTTAGGGACAGAGAAAAGACTGTTGTTGGTTAAGCATTAAGTAATCTGAGAGTGTAAAAGCTGTCAGTGTTGAGACTCTCACTTCATGAATATACACAGCAGTCTCCAGTCATGTAGAGGGGAGAAGGGCTATTTTGTTGTTGTTGTTTACAGATAAATTCAAGGAAGAAATGTATTTTTGTAAATGTAATTTGTGCCCAAGCCTGCATCCTGGTGCCTTAGGTGGACCCCACTTAACCTAAAACCTGGCACAATCCTAGAAAGCTGCATGGATCACAGTTGGAGGGAAGCGGCTTCCTTGAGGTTAATATTAAATCTCCCACAACATGTGAATATAATTTTCCAAGAATCAGAATGTCTGAAAATAGACTCATTCCAGTCCCAGCTTGACTTTGCTGTGTGCACTCAACACTGGAAGGCTCTGAGTATTCAGGGAGAGAGTGCCATGCTTTGCCTCAGGAATATGAGAGTCCAAACTCAAACTTATTGCCTTCCAGTCGAAACCGCCTCAAAGCTGACCCTCCAGCAGCTTTTCAGAGGCTGTAAAACACACGGAAGGAAATGATTCATCTTCTTCCATGGAGCAGCTAGCAGATTTAAACTACCTGCCTCTGCGCTGGCAGCATGACCCCCTACCCACTCGGATACCAGAGCTCCCTAATATGGGAGGTGGTGGTGATGCTGTTGTGTACTGTTAAGTTGGAACCAACCCATGGTTGATCCTCCGGTGGGTTTTCTGAGGCTGTAAATAGCATGTGAAGAGCTTGCCCATCCTTCTCCCACGAGCAGCTAGTGGATTTGAACCACATGCCTTTGGGTTTGCAGTGCTGCTTCGTACCGCTAAACCTCATGGAAAGTAGAGAATGGCAAATAAGTTGTGAAGTGGTATTAGGAGTGGCTTCTGTGATTAGATTTGTATTAACTACAGAGCTGCCTGTGTGTGTGCTAGACACCAAACCAGCACTTTCCACATAGTACTTCACGTAATTCTCACAGTACCCCTATGTGGAAGGTGTTTGTTATTATCCTCATCTTTAAAGAAACCAAGGCACAGAAAGGTTAAGTAATTTGCCCAAGGTCACAAAGCAAGGATGTGAACTTCCCTAGAGAACCCTCACAGGATTGGGGCTGAAACCCAGGCAGTTTGACTTCAGCAGCTGCACTCTGAATCTGCGGTGAATTCAACCATTCACAGATTTGCTAGGGTGACTCACAGGGTTACTAACAGCTGAGACGCATTACAAACAAAGGATACAAAGCAAAATTCGCAAAGGAAAAAGGCTCATGGAGCAAAGCCCGTAAGAGTCCTTTCCCCAGTGGAGTCAAACAGGATGCACGGAATTCCTTCAGCATTGAATTGTGGTAGTGTGATGTGTTCACCAGGGAAGCTCATTAAAGATTCAAGTGTCCAAGGATTTCATCAAAGGCCAACTGTCTAAACACACTAAGGCCAGCAAGTACCAAAATTCCAAAATGAAAGCAGATGGTCACCATAAAATCACATTGTTTGTACAAAGTTTGGCATGTGAGTCACTTTATCATTTAGAGAAAGTGCCATATCATTTTAGGAAACTGTTGACTAGTCAAGTTCTTAGATATCAGCCAAGGGCCAGTTTCACAAATAGGCTTTTCTGAGAATAGCAGGCTCAGACCTGCTGTGTTAACTCTTTACTTCACACCCCTTCAGATCACTTCTGAGCACTTGGTTAAAATATCCTTTAATGTTCTCATAGTCTTTCCAAATAAGCATACTGTGGCATGTACAATGCAGGTTTGGTCCAGCAATTTCCTTCCTTCTTGCCTACTACCCCTTATGTTCTAAAACTTATGGAGACATTAGTCAAGCTGTTAATAGCTGAAATAGTTACCTATCATCATTTAGAAATTTATTACTTGGTTATTTTTGATCTTAGTTGCCCGTTGCCGCATAACAGAAATACCACAGTTAGGTGGATTTAAGGAACAGAAATTCAGTGTTTTGGGTTCCTGAGGTCTCAGCTGGGTCCGTTCTTTCCATGGGCCTCTCACCTAGTTTCTGATGGCTGACAGTCCTTGTCATTCCATAATCCTCAGGTGACAACTGTCTTCCCCTTGTGCATATGTCTCCGTGTCTACCCCCTCATGCTGCTTCATCTTCAGGTCGACGGATAGACAATGTACTGCTCAGTGCTGATGGTATTCCAGGATTTCCGGTGGTTCTTCAGCAGATCAGTAAGATTCTCAGTTCTCCACTTGTGTCAGGAGTGCAAACAAAATCAGGTGAGTTGCTTTTCTCCCTTTTGTTGTCATCTCGACTTGGAGCATTTGCTCATTACCAGACTTCACTCTTTCTCCCTTACTGGCTGTCCATAGAGAATGCAGAGGAGAAAGGAGGGCCCCTGCGGTGCAGCATCACTGAGCTGCTCCAGATGTGCTGGCCCAGCCTGACTGAAGACTGTGTTGCCAGCCAGATCACCCTCTCTCAGCAGCTCGAGCAGGTCCTTCAGGCACTGAGAGAGGCTCTCGAGCTGCCAGGTAAGGGGCTCCGCCGACTCAGGAGCGCATGGTGGCTGGTCTGGGAGTGGAGGGCAGAGGCGTGGAACTCCAGAACTGGGCTCTCTGCTAGCTCCATTCTCTATTCTCTAGTAAGCCAGGAGTATCTCATAACTAACCACTCATCTGCTTCCCTGCCTCACAGGTGAAAGGCTGGCCTATACTCCGTTGTTGTTGTTGTTGTTGTTGTTAGGTCCTTTCTAGTTGAGTATGGCTCATAGCAACCCTATGAACAATAAACCCTGTCCAATCACTCCTGGGCCATCTTTGTCATCTCTGACACACCTGAGCCCTTTGATACAGTCACTGTGTCTGTCAGTCCTCATTGGAGGTCTTCTTCTCTTTCCCTGACCCTCCCACTTTTCCAAGAACAATGTCCTTTTCCAAGGAATAGCCTTTCCTAGCAACATATCCAGAGTATGAGAGCTGAAGCTTTGTCATCCTTGGCTCCAGGAAGCACTCTGACTGCACTTTCTGCAGAACATCTGTTCGTTATTTTGGCAGTCCAGGGGATATTCAGCAATCATTTCCAATACCGCAGCTCAAGGGCATCAATTGTTCTGTCATCCTTCTTCATAGTCCAACTCTCAGATGCATAATAGGTGATTGAAAAGACCATGGCCTGAATCAGGCGCACCCTAGTGTCAGCTGATCTATTTCCCTCATTCCCAGGGAGAACTATACTAAGCGGACGTTCAGTAAATGATGATCAGCCCTTCCCAAAAGGTAACTGTGCTCTTCCTAGGCTAAGTCTTTTTTGTTGTTGTTGTTGTGTACCATTGAATCAGATCCAACTGGCACAGGAGGAGATTGCCCCTCCTTCTCCAGCAGAGCATCTGGTGGATTCAAACCATGTGCCTTTGAAATTGCAGCAGAGCTTTTTGCCGCTAGACCATCAGAGCTCCCTAACTGTGCTCTTCTTAAAGTCTATTTTGCACAGAGACCCAAGGATGAAAGCTGAATTGTTACTGGTGCTATTGAGTTGATTCTAATTCCTAGTGAGCCTGTATGGACAGAACTATCTCATGGGGTTTTCTTGGCTCTCATCTTTATGGGAACAAATCACCAGGCCATTCTTCTGCAGAGCCACTTGATGGGTTCATTCTACCAAACTTGTGATTAGCGGCTGAGCACTTAAATCATTGTGCCACCAAGGCTCATTGAAAGCAGAACTGTGTACCTAAATTTCTCCAGATTCAGACTCTTCCTGGCTGAGATTCACTTGTACAGATGCCCATGTTAGGAAGTTGTATCCACCTTGTAAGTAGAGTACTCGGGCTATAGGATGTCCCCCTGCAATGTACAGGAAGCCCATTTCACATATGTTTTTGGAAGTTGACCCAAAGCTGGACACACAGTCTAAAGCCAGCATCCCAATTCCCACCACAACTCCTCACAGAGCCCAAGAGTACTCCGCTGTCCTCCCTAGTGGAGCAGGCGGCCCAGAAAACTCCTGAGGTGGAGGCCCACCCTGTGCACGTCCAGACTCAACTCCTCCAGCAAAACCTGCTCAAACAGGCCCCCGCCGACAGCAGGCAGGCTGACTACGTGGGCACATTCCTCGGCTACTGCAGCACCATGTCTGCAGTTCTCCTACGCAGCTTGAGCTCTGAGCCTGGTGAGTGGCATGTGGAAGTGGAGTCATGACTCGTTTTAGGGCCAGGTGTAGTGCAAGGAGGAGGCAAGATACTAGATGAAGAAGTTCTGGGGAGAACAGTAACCAAAGACACCTAGATTTGAAAAGGCCTTCTTTCTTCCTTTGTCTGTTTTATTTCTCTTTGTTGCCCTAATTCCTAGTATAGTTTTACAGAATATAGTAGTAGCTCAGTACATTTTGAGAGAGTTAAATGACTCAAGAACATCTGTCTCAGACCTTAAGACCATTATGGCACTGAGGACCTCCTGCAAAGGAATCAGGTCTCTAATGTGGGCATCAGAGTCTTACTTGAGTCCCTAGAGTGAACATTACCTGCATGCCAGTCAAGGTAAAGACAGCAAGCGTGAGCTATCTGTGGCTACACCTGCCCACTGAAGTTAGTTTGCGGTTGGAATCCTCTAGAGCAGTGGTAAGGCATAGATGAACTTGTGGCCAAAGTCACGTGGAAAATCACCTTCCCTAGAATAAGTCAATGATATCATTTTGACATGGTGCTTTGTTATTGATTCTGAAGAAGGTGGTTGTGAACTGTTGCAGTCAGTGGGTACAACGACAGGTCGTACCTTTACCTTTGCAGATCACGTGACAGTCAGGGTAGGAAATCCCTTTGTTCTCCTGCAGCAGAGCTCATCCCAACTGGTGTCACACCTCCTGCTTGAGAGACAAGTTCCCCCAGACAGGTAAGAGTCACCCCCGGGAGCATCAGCTCCCATAATGTTCCATCAAAGACACCACCTTCAGTGGAACAGTGAGTGCTTTGCTACAGAAATGCCATCTAGAATTTGCCCTTAATTTGCATTTAATCATATACTTCTTGTTGTTATGTGCTGGCAAGTCAGAATCAACTAATAGATAATCTTCTAACATATTTTCAAAAATCAGTAAATTGTATAAGAAAAGATTGCTCATCTTTCTCCCATTATGCAGCTGGTGGATTTGAACATGCAGCCTTTGACATGGCAGCACAGTACCTTGCGCACTAGGCTTCCAGAGCTCATACTCTTATATAACTGTTAAATTTCAGTGTTCCCAGCTTTTCTTTTGCAACCTCTACCACTTATAGTTTGTCTTCCTTCAAAGCAAAAATCTAAAGTTTGAGAACACATTTTTGTTGTTGTTATGTGCCATCAGTTCACTTGCAACTCATAGCGACCCTGTATACAACAGCCCTAAACCCTGCTCTATCCTGTGCCAATCGCACTGCCTCTGACACACCCATCCCGATTACCCCAGTCACTGAATCAATCCACTTCATAGAGGGTGTTGCCCTCCTGCGCTGTGCTTCCACCCTCCCAAGCATGATGTCCCGCTCCAAGGACCTGTCCCTCCTTACATCATGTCCAAAGTATGTCAGACGAAACACCAGAATCCTTGCCTCCAAAGAGTAGCCCAGGTTAACCCTCTCCAGGATGAATCTATTTGTTTTCTTGGCAGTCCGTGGTACATTCAATACTCTTCTCCAGCACCACAGCTCAAAGGTATCAATTCTCCCTCCATCCTCCCTAGTCATTGTCCAACTCTCTGATGCATAACAAGTGATTGCAAAGACCATGACCTCTATCAGGTGCACCTTAGTCTCCAGAGACACACCATTGCTCTTGAGTACTTTAGAGAGGTCCCTAACAGCAGACTTTCTCATCACAATACGTTTTTTGATTTCCTGGCTGCTGGTGCCAAGAGTGTTGATCGTGGAGCTGAGCAAACTGAAGCTGTGAACAATCTCAATCTCAGCTGGCTTTTTTTTTGTGGCAAAACAAACATCCTCATACATCACTTATTGTTGTTAGGTGCCATTGAGTCATAGTGACCCTATAAAAAACAGATCCAAACTCTGCCCTATGCCATCCTCATATTTCCATCTGGGCTCCATCTCTAATACTGTATCTGTCTGTGTTCTTCCTTTGGCCATCCTCTTCTGAAATAGCAGACTTCTGAAAACTGGGAACAATAGAGGAACACATGCATTGCTGGTGAGATATAAATTGATACAGCCTGAGTGGAAAGGCAATTTGTTGATGCTATATGAGATGGCACAGGATTGGACAGTGTTTAGGTCTGTTGTTCATAGGCTTGCTACGGGAAACATTCATACCTAACAATGACAACAGCATTAAAAGTATACATTAATAGCCTCTGACCAAGCAGTCCACTTCAGAAGAATTTATCCCGCAAGTTTATTATGTATGTGCAAAATGATGCATCTACAAAGTCATTTTATCACAGCCTTATATGCGACACCAAAAGATAAGAAAATTCCAGTGATCACTATTAGGAGATTAATTATATTATCGCTCATCTACATCAAACAATAATACTACATGGCAATAACCTAGTGAGAGGCCTCTCTGTAGAGGAATGTGGACAGATGTCCCATCTGTTACATTGTTATTAAATGAAACAACAAGGCAATGTGCCTTATAGACTCATTTTTTGTTTATAAAAGGAGTAACAATAGTTAAAACACCTGCATTCCCATTTGCTTGTGCAAACGTAAATTCAGATGGATACTTGGGATTGGGTTATGGTGCTGATAGACCCAGGACCTCCATGTCTCATCTCTCTCCTTGCAGGCTAGCAGCCCTTCTGGCCCAGGAGGGCCTCAGCCTCAGTGTGCCACAAGTCATCGTCAACTGTTGCTGCGAGCCTCTTGCCCTTTGTGCTTCCCAGCAAAGCCAGCAGACATCATCCCTTCTGACCCCCCTGGACATCCTGGCCCACTTGCACTGCCAGGATTGCCTCCCACTTTCTACACTGAGCTTCCCAAGACCAACTGAAAATCCTGTATTGGAGAGGAAGCCCCACTTCTCCCCCAGGGATTCGTCACCCGCAGCTCTCACCGCCTCTGCCTTGGCCTTCCTGAAGTCTCGTTCAAAGCTGCTGGCTACAGTGGCCTGCCTGGGGGCCACCAGGGCAACAAAAACCACCAAACCCAGCTTGTCATGGAAGGAGCTCCGTGGCCGTAGAGAGGTGCCTCTGACAGCCGAGCAGGTAGCCCGGGAGTGTGAGCGCCTCCTGGAACAGTTCCCGACCCTGGAGGCCTCCCTCCTGGCTGCCTGGACACCTCTCCAAGCCTCATCCACGCAGGAACAGAGTCTGGCAGCCAGTCTCTGCGGCCACACCAGTCTCTCCACTGTGCTCCTGGGCCTGCATTCTCCCATTGCCCTGGATGTGCTGACAGAGGCTTTCAAGGAAGCACTGGTGGTCAAGGATTGGCTCCGGGCTCTTCAGCTCCTTGACGAGTATGGACGAGATGTGGACGAGTTGAGCAGCATCAAGGATGTGGTCCTGGGCTGTGCTGCAGCATGTGGTGAGCAAAAGTTGTGCTTCTTTTTCACTAGTGCTAATGATAATCTTTAGCATTCACCAAGTGTTTACCACATGCAGGCACTGGGCGGCATGCTTTACACACATCTTCACATATAACCCTACAGCAACTCTGGAGAGTTGAGAGGAATCCAAGGCTCAAAGAAGTTAAGAAATTGGTCCAAGATACTAAGTGGAAGAGCAGAGCTGAGAAACCCAGATCTGTTCAACATGAGAACAGGCACTCAGAACCAGTATTCTCAACCCTGTGTATCTCAGTCCAGAATCTCTCTGAAATTTTAAAAGCTATAAATTTCTGGGTCTAACATGCAGAGGCTCAGTGTCGCAACAGCCAAGAGTTCACTTTAAAATTAATATCCAGTGATGACACTTGAATTGGTTAGAGACAGCACCCCTTGAACTGTTAGAGGGTGGTGACATCAAAATGACCCCAGGGTTCACAAAAGTAACTGTGGCTCCCCTCACCCACCAGTCATGGTTCACGTGGGTGGGCCATGGGCCTGCCACTGGGTGGAGAAGGGAGCCTCTACTAACCAGCCCCACCTATGGGAAAGATAAATCCATGACCCACTAGGTGTCAGCAAACTTTCAGTAAAGAGTATTTCAGAGTTGCAGCCACATACCTCTGACATAGCATGAAAGGAGACATAGGCGATGCATAAACAAATAAGTGTGGCTATGCTCCAATAAAACTTTATAAATAAAAAGACTGTGACTCTGTTTGATGACCCCGCTTTTAAAGCACCCCAGGAGATTTTGTGTGCAGATAGAGATGTAAGCCCTCAAGAGTCTTAAGGGTGCGTTAGGCCAGGGCATATTGTTAATAAGATAGGTTGAACCTTGGAAAGGTGAAAAAGGCCTCCTTCAGATGGTAGAGGAATCTTCTGCCTGCGTGTATGATCTTACCTGATTGAAGTTTCTCTTTTTGATGTGAGAGATAGATGTCAGTGAGAGAGATCTATTAAGCCATAATGGCCCTCGATATCAAAGGGGGAAAGAAACTGTACTTTATCTTAAATAATTTTCAAACAGTAGAAGGAACAGGTATTTACTGGAGGAAAAACCGAAAGTTCCGCTGACAAGTTGAGACAGAAAAAGTACTATATGTGCAAAATGACAAAACTTGAAAGGCTGCACTTTTTCTTGTATTTCTTCCTTCCTTTCTTTTTTTCCCCCTTCCCTCATTTTTTCCCCTTCTGATGATCCCAAGATTATAATATTAAAAAACTCAAACTTACTACCCTCAAGTCAGAACCAACCCATAGCTGGCCATGCAGAAGATTTTTAGAGGCTGTAAATCAAATGAGAGGAGTTTGCCTGTCTTTCTCCTGAGGAATGTCTGGTAGATTCGAACCACCTGCCTTTGGGATGGCAGCACAATTTCTTACTCTCCAGGCCAGCAGAGCTCACTAATATAATTTGTTCTGCATAAAGGGAAGTATAAGAATATAATTTAAAAAAAAAAAGAATATAATTTTTCCTGATATGTAATGTTTTCTAATGGAGTCCTGGTGTCACACTTTATTGTGTGTTGGGCTACTTACTGAAAGGTAAATTGTCCAAATCCATCAGCCACTCCCTGGAAGAAAGTATCCTCCCATAAAGTAACCTCCAAATACCAAAGAAGGGTAACCATTAATTGAAATCAACTTGATCACAGTGGTTTTATTTTGGGAGTAATGTTTCCTGGGGTAAAACTAATTAAGGTCAGAAAGATTGTAAGGATCCTCAAAACTCCTGTTTTATGAAATTGAACAAAACTGTTTTGTCGAGGAAAGTAGGCAGGGCTCTTGAAGTTCTTCACTGCCAGACTTGCTGCCTCTGGGCATCTTTTTTGTCTTTTAGACAAAGAAGGTTGGCAATACCTGTTTGCCGTGAAGGATGTGTCTCTGAGAAGCCAGCTGACCCTGCAGTTTGTGGACAGGTGGCCCCTGGAGTCATGCCTGGAGATCCTGGCTTACTGCATCTCAGACCCCACTGTGGAGGAAGAACTGAAGAGTGAACTGCAGAGAAGGCTGGCAGAGCTCCAGGTGTATCAGAAGGTATCCTTTGTGACACTAAGAGGCTTCTTCCCCTGTTGCCATCTCCAGCCCAATCTCAGATGAGCCTTTAAAGACATAAAACCTATATTTGGCTTTTACTCTGCACCTGATTCTGTTCTTTTTTTTTTTTTTCTAAATTTTTTATTATTTTTGTGTGAGTGTACCGTCAAATCAGATCTGACTGGTACAGGAGGAGATTGTCCCTCCTTCCTCGGCAGAGCATCTGGTGGTAGATTTGAACCGTGCACTTTTGGGATTGTTGCAGCTCCTTACCACTAGGCCACCAGAGCTCCCCTCTGATTCTGTTCTTAAATGAAGAACAAGATGGCCTTCTATCTATGTCCTGGCTTATGGTAGCCCTTCATCTTCAGGAATAATACTCCTAAAAACCCTCTGGAGAGTCAGCTATGAGTTAGTTCTAACTTAATGGTGCATAATAATAATAGTTGGCATCCACTTCCATAATAGCTCACCTCTGGAAACCCTATGAACCTGGAGAGAGGATGAAAAGCACCCAAGCGTCGAGGCCTCTGCTTCATAGGGTCACTATGAGTCGCCTGCGACTCAACGGCACTTAACACCAACAACAACAGTTTTAAATAAGGCACTTTCATCCCATAAGGCTTGTATTAGGCTGCTAACTGAAAGGTTAGCAGTTCAAATCCATCAGCCACTGCATGGGAGAATGATGAGCAGTCTTTACACTTTAAAATTGACTTCCTCAAAAACCGAATGGAGGGTCACCATGAGTTGGAACTGACTCGACATTAGTAAGTTTGGTTTTTGGTTATAGTTTTAAATATATATGTATCAAGCCAATGATAAGCGTGCACAATTAGCATTGAAATAATTCTTTACAATCCACAAGGATTTTTCATGTGGTATATTTGGCCTTTGTGTATGTTTTATACACTTTATTATTGTTTGGTGCCGTTGAGTATGACTCATAGTGATCCTTTAAAGAACAGATCTGAGCTTTGTCCTGTCCTGTGCCATCCTTATAACCTCCAGGACACTTGAGCCCATTGCTGCAGTCACTGTGTCAATCCACCTGGTTAGGTTAGGGTTTTCCTCTCTTTTGCCATCCCTCTACATTTCCAAGCATCATGTCCTTTTCCAAGGAATAGCCTCTTCTAGCAACATGACCAAAGTATGTGAGATGAAGTTTTATCACCTTTGCCTCCAAGGAACATTCTGGCTACACTGTCTCTGAAATATATCTGCTTGTTCTTTTGGCAGTCCATGGAATATCCAGTACTCTTCTCCAACACCACAATTCAAAGGCATATTATTTCCTCTTAAAAGATTATCTTAAATGTCAGGTAAATTTAAAAAAAAAAAAGGTCAGGTAAATTTCAAGAACTATTTTAAAAAGATGCATGAACGTGACAGTTAAAAAAATAAAAAATGTGAGATAAGTGTTGTATTTTCGATCACAATGCTTAATGAGGTAGGTTTTGGGATACACCTAGATAATAAGTTTAAAATGTGTGTTTATTGTTCCATTTATACTCAGAACAGCGTAGTTGATAGCCCCACAGGGAAACTGAATGGCAGGGAAGAAGGATTTTTCTTTTTCCTTCCCCTTTGCATGCAGTGCTGGAAATGCTGCATGAAAGGGGAACCTGCAAACCATTTAAGCCAAGAGAATATCTTGGGTGAAGTTTTGAGATGGAAGATGGAATCCTAACCCTAGAAGGCGTGAACAAGGATATAAGAACCTTCTCCATAAGTAAAGACCCTAACTGTAGCCTTCCAATCCCTGATTATACTTTGAGAATAATTGTCTTGTAGTAGGCCCAAAACTTACTCTCTTCTCCAGACTACATTTCCCTCATTTACTCTAATTCCTCCTCAGCCCTAACACTCTCTGACAGCCTTGCTTTGGGGCATAGATCGAGGAATGACTCCTTCCTGGACACTCCAATGCCTTATTCACAGCAGGAGAAACTACAGTTTGGTTTGATGGATTTTTTTTTCTTTTTCCTTAGATTCTAGATTTTTTTTTTTTCTTTTTCCTTAGATTCTAGCTTTGCAGGCTAACCCAGTGTGGTGTGACTGGCAGACCTTGAGGAGCTCTTGTGTTGAAGATCCATCTACTGTCATGAACATGATTCTTGAAGCAAAGGTACCTTTTTCTTAGAAGTTTTCCCCTTCTTCTCCTTTTCAGAATTATAAGTCTTCACTCAGCTGGTTCCATCAATCTATTCTTACTCCTACTGGTAGATGTTTAGATTCTTTTCAGATTTTCACTATTTAAGATTACTGTAACATACTTTTTTTTTTTTTGTAACATACTTTTTTATCTTAACACAGTTACTTAGGCTCATAGTGAGTTTTTTCTATACTCCTGGAACGTTTCAGCATTCCATACTCCTTTACCATTTGCATTCTAACCTCCACATGAGCAGTTTTTGTTGTCGTTATGTGACATCAAGTTGGCCATGACTTATAGTGACGCTATGAACAATGACTCTGAACCCTGCCCTATCCTGAGCCAATCTCATCATCTGTCATACACCTGACCCTTTTACCAGTCATTGTGTCAATCCATCTCATCCAGGCTCGTCTTCTGCTCTGACCCTCTATCTTCCAACCATGATATCCTTCTTCAAGGACTTGTCTCTCCATTGAAGTTTGAAGAGGTTAGAATACATACTGTAAAAAAAAAACCAAGGGCCACAGGTTCACATGGGGATGGCCATGTCTGACCTTTCCAACTTCATAAAGGGGAACCAGCCCCGTCAACAGCATCAATAATGCAAAACCAATTTCCATGAGGTCAGACATGCCCCACACACTCCCATACCTCTTTTTGCTCATCTCAACACCAATTTTACTGCTTTGCTTGGCCCAAAATCCAGTGTGATAGCTCACAGACCATACAGAACCATACTGAAGAAGTCAAAAGATTATAATCCAGATTAATAACATAGCACAGTCAAAACAGCTCCCAGAATGGGTACACAGGCACCTCAACCTCAAGCCTCACAGCTCTTTAGCTGGTACTCTAAAATTCTTAGCCTGACAATTTTGGCTCTCCAACCGAGCTTGTCTAACAGAGTGCTCAGTCCTACCAATATTGATTTCCCACCCCCAGTTGTCCCATTTCACATCAGGTCTCCAGTTCGGCTGTACATGTTGCCATAGGTGTAGCTGGAGCAGGAAAGGTACCCTACGTTATCTTGCCTTCTCTTCAGTGGTACCAGAAGATCCATCTGTCTCTCACCCTGGCTTGCTCAATTCAGTGGCAAGACTAGCCAGTTCCCTTGTAGAATGTTGAGACTGGCCAATTCCCTTGTAGAATGGTACATAGCCAGGCCTCTTGTGGATAGGCTAACATGCTCCATTCACATATTCCTGCCCATCTACATAGAATCCTCCTTAATACAATAATTGCTTCAACATAAACAGCTAATCTTTAGGCTACGAAAGACAATTTTGAATGATAAGCCTTAGACACCTAGACATAACTAGAGTAGAACTGCTGTTTGACTGCACATGAACATCCTCACTTTTACTAACTCGTTGCCAACTTCTATTCTAATTGGTTATCCCAGTTTTACTCTTTCCTACAGTTTGTATTACTCTCTGTTCTTGATAACTTTTGATATTGTTCAGCTTTTCACCGTTTACCTGTAAGAAGCTATTTTATTTTTGTTTTCATTTATATTACTTACAGTTCCATGATTTACTAGTGAATTTGAATGTCTTTTCACATGGTTATTGGCCAGTAGTGAAATCCCTGGGTGGTGCCAACATTTAAGCCCTTGGTTACTTAACCAAAAGGTAGACAGTTCATTTCTACCAAGAGGCCTTGACAGAAAGCCTGGTGATCAACTTCCAAAGGACCACAGCCATTAAAACCCCTATGGAATACAGTTCTGTTCTGAATTATGTAGGGTTACTATGAATCTATAACAACTGGTTTGGTGCTTTATGGGCCATTAAACAACTAAATATACATTTGATCTTTATTAAGGAATGAATACACCATCCTTCAAAAACTAGGTGTGCAAATGTTTACTTTTTCAGTAAACCCTTCCTGTATGCCTATTACTTGATGGTATCTGTGCTAATAGGTGGCAAAACAGTGATAAGTCAGCTTAGTCCCTACTTTTAAGCAGCTCACATTGGTCTCTGTGGGGAAAGCGTGAGACACATTCCTGGGTGGATGCAATTTAATATATGTAAGTGACAGAAGTAAACAACAGAATGTAGTGGGAAGTGCTCTAACAGTCTGAGAAACAGGGAACCATCGTGAAGCAAGCAGCCTGAGGCAGAATTATAGGGAAGACATATCAACATTCCAGAACCCACCATATTGGAATATTTGGACAGAACTCTGGGTAATCCATTCTTTGAGCCCTTCCTCTTTATTTCGCAAATTGGGGACAAGAGGAGCACGTGGTTGGAATCCAACCTCTAGACGTGTTTGCTAGGCCCAGGCAACATTAATGTGCAGAATTTTTCTTTTTTTATCTTGCTTTATGACCAGCATCCTAATGTGAGAAATGTTATGTGATAAATCAAAAATCTACAGCGATGGGCCCATGCCCTCATATGGCAGCAATCAGAGCTGAGGAAGGGCTAGCTCCTTTAGACCGAGTCTTCCCCACTTCCTTAGTATCCCCAGTGTGGATGTCACATGTCAACCGCCAGAATCACTTGCTTTCCTTTTTTTATAGGAGAGATAAGGGGGAAATGATATTATTGCTGGTCAACCTGCTCTGATAGTTTCCTGATTTATCTTGTCACTCTAGTCCTTTGCATTCATGATCCCATATCAGTCTCACACGAAAGTTCCCTTCAACAATCAGCAAACCTTTTAGCAGATTAGAGACTACAGTTGAGCAAAAATCATGCAAAAGCTGGATGAGTGACAAAGACCAGTAATTTAAAGGGACTGATGATGTGTGTTTCCTTCCAGGAATATGGCCTGTGTGAGGAGTGGGGCTGCCTGTACCCCATTCCAAGAGAACATTTAATCAGTCTCCATCAAAAGCATCTTCTTCACCTTCTAGAAAAAGGCGATTCTGAGAAGGCTCTGCAAGTAAGCCTCTGATTTCCCAGTTCCCTTTTGGGGAGGAAGGAAATGAGAAAACTCAGATGAGCTTTTTGATGCTAGGCCTCCTGAAAGCGTTTGCCATCTCAGATCTGCCCCTTCATGTCCTCCAGGGTCCAATTGTGCTCACCTTGACCGGGAGTTGCCTTGCCCAGCATTAGGTGCCAAATGGCTGGCTAGCACCAAGAGTCTGCACAACTCCTGTTGGCTCATTGGCTCATTTGTGGATCGCCCTGTGGGAAAAATAAGTGGAGATAAGGGGTTGGTCTAAATGTTCCTTTCCTAAACAAGCAAGATTGGCTTAAGGAGTCTTCTGGAGATCTTACCTTCCTCATTCACCCTTTTCCTGCAACAGCTTTTGCAAAGAATCCCTGACTCCACCATGTGCCTTGAAGTCACGGAGCAGTCCCTTGACCAGCACCCTAGCCTGGCCACTTCACACTTCTTGGCCAACTACCTCACCACTCACTTCTATGGAGAACTGACTGCTGCCCGACACCAAGAAATCCAGGCGCTGTACATGGGATCTAAGGTAAGGAAGAAATGAGAATGTTGAAAAGCATGCCTGAGGGACTGCTGACCAGCTCCCAATTCATGCATGGCTCTTTCACCACTCTCCTTCCAGGCTCCTATCATCCTTAACCTGGCATTTCTGTGCCACATGAAAGCTTTCCCTCAGCAGCCCACCACATCCTAGTCAAGTACCCCCAGGATTTGTCATGACTTGTCATTCTATTATTCCCCTACCTCCAGACTAACTCTTACTTATTCCTCTGAAGTTCTCCTGCACCTCCCCAATTCTGGTCACAGTTTATGATGACCTGGACTGTTTAAAAATAGCAGTGGTTGGTCTCTAGCCCAGATCAGGCGAAACCAAATCTTGGGATGGTGTATGGGTAACCGTCCAAAGGAATTCTGATGTGAGTGAGGATTAGAAACTACTGTTTGATAAACTAGTCTGCGAACAGAAAAGAAGGGTCAATTGTCTGGATGTGGGAATAGATCCTTTGGATGTGTAACATTAGTGACATTAATCAAGGAAATGCAAGCTGAGAAAAAAGGTCCTGTGAAGGAGGGTTTAGGGAGATGTAGGGCCCTCTGGCACTCTTCTGATTATTCTGACTGGACAAAGGACTTGCACTGCCAGCCCAAAGACAAGCAGTTAGAATCTACGAGCTGTTCCATGGGAGAAAGATAAGCAGTCTCTTCCCATTTTCAAAGGCTCTGAGTCATATGGGAAAAGACTGCCTAACTTTCCCCCATGAAACAACTGGTGGATGATATGTTGTTGTTGTTATTTGTTGTTGTTGTTGATTGCCTTCGAGTCGAGCATGACTCATAGCAACCCTATGAACAAAAGGCCTGAAGCCCCTCTGTATCTGTATCTATCGACATTTATCAAAGTTCATAGGGTTTCTGGAGACATGTTGTTTAGGAAGTGGATACATCTCAAATGGTCTTATGTGTAGAATTAATGCTGGAAGCAGCCAGGAATGTGACCGCTGGTTCATTAAGAGATAACTACATAAAATGTTCCTGAAGATTTACCTTTTGGCAGGTTGTTTGTTTATTTTGTTTTGCTTTTTGATGCCCAGTACTTAAATGGGACAATACTTGAGTTAGTTTTTGTCAATGAGCAAAGCAAGTGAATGTATTTCAAGCATAGTGATAGGGACCTCTCTCAATTTGCTCGGCTTCGTCATTTTTCCTGTGGGACCCTGAAAGCTCACCACCGTCGCCTTGTGTTGCTCATTTAGAAAGAAGCCTCAAATGGAAAAAATGTTCCATTAAGGATCAGATAGAGCTCAACTATGCCTGGAGAACTTGGGCCATGGGTCTAATCCAATCCATGTCCTATTTTAGTCAGTTTTATTGTAACAATTAAGTTTTATTGTCCTGCTTTAATAAATTTCCTTTTCCCATTGTCTCTGGCTGCTACATCTAGCCAGAGTTAAATAGTTATGACAGAGCATGTGTAGCCCATAAATCTGAAAACACTTGTTATCTGACTCTCTATGGAAAAGTTACCCTCCCCTCCTCAAGGGGAAGGTACTTGAAATATTTCTTGAGCAACCGCCTGGAGGATTCAACTGGATCTTCAGTCTTACATCCTGAAAGTCTATTAAAACTTATCATTATTAGTTGGCTATGTCTCTTTTGATCTCTAGTTCCTCTCCACTTTCCAATAAGAATCTCAGTTTCTTTTTTTATTTGGCTCTACCCAAAACCAGGTTTTGCTGACCCTTCCTGAGCAGCACCGGGCCAGCTATGCCCACCTGTCCTCCAGCCCCCTGCTGATGCTGGAGCAGCTCCTGATGAACATGAAAGTGGACTGGGCCACTGTGGCCGTGCACACCCTGCACCAGCTGCTGGCTGGACAGGAGATTGGCTTCACCATGGAGGAGGTTGACGCGCTGCTTTCCAGATACGCCGGAAAAGCCCTGGACTTCCCCTACCCTCTGAGGGAGAAGCAGTCGGGTAACTGCCAACAAAATACCTTTTCCCTCCATCTTTACCTGGGGTTTACATGGACAAGAGATACCATGTACATTCTTAGCTTTAGTCGTCTCATCTTTTATCAGGATAAGTTGATGGAGAGTGAAAAGAGTACACTTTAAGAAAAATAGCTCTGTATTGTAGAAGAGAGATCTTGGTCTTCCAGAAAGGGACATTAGAGTAGTAAATAACCACTCAGGAGTCCTGGTGGTGCATACAGTTAAGCGCTCATCAGCCAACCAGCAGGGTGGAACTCAGACCTACCAGCAGCTACCCGGGAGAAAGACCTGGTGATCTACACCCATGAAAATTGTTGTTGTCAGGTGCCCTTGAGTCAGCTGTGATGCGTGCAGCAGAACAAAGCACTGCCCAGGGCTGTCCCATCCTGACCAGCGTTACCATGTTTGAACCCATTGTAGCCACTTGTCAGTCCATTTCATTGACAATTTTCTTGGATTCATACTGTGTACATTCCACCTTCTGATTTTTAATACATATTTGCAGCTATTTCTACTCATTTTGGATAATGCCACATCAATGAGTGAAGGTCCCAAAAGCTTTACTCCACCATTCAAGGCCACTCTACTTTGAAAAAGGCACACGTCTCCAGTCATAATTTAAGTACCTTCCAACCTTAGAGGTTCATCTTCCAGCACTATATGAAGCAGTGTTCTGCTGCTATTTATACGGTTGCCCTGGCTGATTTTTTTTCAGTACATCACTAGATCCTTCCTAGTCGGTCTTGGTCTGGAAACTTCTAAACACCATCCATTATGATTAACTTTATTGGTGGTTGAAACATTCATAACATAGCTTCTAGCATCAGAGTAGCACATAACTCACCAGCGCATGGCAAACTGTTAAGAGAAAGTCCACTAAGCTTACAGCCTAGGAAACCATATAGGGCAGTTCTTCTCTGTCACATGTCATCAAAAGTAAAAAATCAGCTGTACCTACAAACAACATAAAGCCATTTTATGTATAGTAAAATAGGGGTCAGTAGAAATGAAGAAACACTTCCCTCCCTGCACCACTTACACAAACAGTCACACACACACGCTGGGGTGGATTGACACAATAGCCATCATAATGGATTCAAACAATCAAAGATCATGAAACTAGCACAGAACCAAGCAACATTGCTTTCTATTTACATACAAGTTCACCTTGAGTCAGAACCAACAACAACCAATAATTACCACATGCATAATAACCTAAGTGTTTGGGAAACGGTGGTGAAGATGGTTTCAGTCTATCCTTGATGCAGTGGCTCCTGAAGTGTCCTTATTTTGTGTTGAGCATATGCTTTATGCCTAGAGTCAAATCAGATAACACTTGTATGTGAGCTGACTTTCTTTCTCCCTTTTTGTTTAAATTTATGAAACAAATTCATTTTTCATTCAACCATTCGTGCACATTTTGTTTAATAACATGAATTTCAATACCCACAGTGTAATCAATCACATTTTCCCTGCTTCATCCCTGAAAATCTGATTGCCATTAATCCTTCTATGCCTCTTTATGTCTTCACTCTTTTTTAGTGATGTTGTGCTGATCATCCCCTTATTTGGTATTGCCTTTCCCTATCTTAATTATATGACTATTAATATCTATTTGGTTTTATTGACTATGCAGAGTCATTTGGCTGTGTGGATTGTAACAAATTATGGTTAACATTGAGAAGACTGGGAATGCTAGGACACTTAAATTATGCTCCTCTGGAATCTGCACCCAAACCAAGAAGCTGTTGTCTGAATGGAGCAAAGAAACACTGTAGTTGTTATGAACCGTTGAGTCTATGCTGTCATAGCGACCCTATGTATAACAGCCCTAAACCCTGCTCTATCTTGTACCAATCTCACTGTCTGTCTCTGACACACCTACTCCCATTATTCCAGTCACTGAATCAATCCATCTCATCGAGGATCTTCCTCTCCTGCACTGTCCCTCCACCCTCCCAAGCAAGACATCCTTCTCCAAAAGACTGGTCCCTCTTTGCAGCATGTTCAGAGTATGTCAGACAAAGCTTCAGAATCCTTGCCTCCAAAGAACAGCCTGGGTTCACCCTCTCCAGGACAAACCTGTTTGTTCTCTTAGCAGTCAATGATATATTCAATACTCTTCTCCAGAACCACAGCTCAAACGCATAAATTCTCCTTCTATCATCCCTAGTCATTGTCCAGCTCTTTGATGCATAGCAAGTGATGACAAAGACCATGACCTGTATCAATGGCACACTTTAGTCTCCAGATTGACATCCTTGCTCTTCAGTACTTTGGTAAGGTCTCTAACAGCAGACTTTCCCAAAGCAATATGTCTTTTAATTTCCAAGCAAACTACACTGCATAATAAAATCAAGAAGGGTGTGCATCAGGTTTTTTCCTTTCTCCATACCTATTCAATCTGTATGCTGAGCAAATAATTTACGGAGCTGGGCTCTATGAAGAAGAATGACACATCAGGAATGGAGAAAGACTCATCAATAACCTGCATTATGCAGATGCAAAGTTATACAATTTTGCTGAAAGTGAGGAAGTTATGAAAGAAGATTAAGAACTGCAGAAGATTAAGAACTACAGCTTTGGTATGGATTACATCTCAATATGAAGAAAACAAAGGTCCTCACCGCAAGGCCAATAGTCAGTATTATTTATTATAAATGGATAAAAGATTGAATCTGTCAGTGATTTCATCTGGCTTGGATTAGCAATCCACACCCTTGGTACCAACAGTGAGGAAATGAAGAGGCAGATTACATTGGGCAAGTCCACTGTCACGATTTCTCCAAAGTACTGAAGTGCAACAGAACCAACAGAGCTTTGAACTAAATGCCAGCTGAGCTTTGCATTAACTACTATAGATGCTCGTGGTAGAACATTTTCTTTCTCCACAGATTCTGTGATTCACCTCCAGGAAATTGTCAGTCAGCTTTCAGACCCTGAGTCCCTGACTAGATCACCATCAGCAGAGTTCTCGTCCTCCGCTCCTCCAGGTAAGCTTAAGTTCTCAGAGTTGCCCCTTGTTTGGTTCAAGCTTGCCTAATTCTGGCTTCGTGATGCCTTTGTCTCTCTTTTCATTGCCATTTACAGCATTCTTATTTAATTATTCTTTGTCCATTTGTTCCAACTTTGTGTATTCCAGAGAACTCAACATTTTTAGTTAATAGTATTTGCCACTCATACAGAGTACAGGTTTTTTGAGGGCCTTCACCATACCCTGGTGACCTTTTTCAACATGTCTCCTCGTTTCCAGCCACCAGCCCCTCACACAATGATTTACAATCAGAAACAGCCCAGGGATTATTTTGCCAAATGGTGAGGGGAGGAGGATTCTACAATGAGATCTATAACCTTTCTTTAGGTTCATGCTAAAAGTCACTACTTCTTAATTCTCTCTCTTCCCCACCCCACCCCAACCCCCTGCCTGGAGCTACCAACATTGCTTGGTGACCAAAAAAATTCCTTAGATGCGACGCTTTGAGAATTAACATGCTTTCTGGATAACCAGCAGAACTGAGATGTTCACACCTTCAAGTTATATGAGCATTTTCACATATCTGCATGAGCAGCTCTACAGTTTTTCTGGTTTCTTATTATGAAAATGTTATGTACCTAAAAGCAGAGAGAATTATTAATAGGGCCTCATATTCCCATGACCCAGCTACAATAATTAGCATCTCATGATGACTGTTTTTGTTTTGTCTGTAACCCATCCTTTTATTGGACTATTCTAAAATAAGTTCCAGATATCGTTATAGTTTCATTATTAATAGTTCAGCATATACTTCTAAAAGATAAAGGCTTTTATAAACCATATCACTATTGTTGTCGTTGTTAAGTGCCATCAGGACAAGCACAACTCATAGTAACTCTATGAACAAAAGATATGAACCCTGTTCTATAATTGACATCATTTCTCTAATGTATGTTGTTTCAAAAGTGGGTGCCAATCCTCCGTCCAAGCCTGCCTTAATCTGGGAGCTCTACCAAACCCTGTCCAACATGGGTAACTATTATGGCATTTGACACACCAGTCATACAGTGTCCAGTATCACAGCAACCCCAAGTTATCTCAGTATAGCAAACTGACAGACCAGTGCTGTACCACTTAGAACAATGTTCTTCTCAACTGACTTTTAAATACAAAGGCCTGCCCACCAGTTCCTGATTGGCTTAAACAAGAGGCTTCCAGCCCACAGCTGATTGTTAACTAAATCCAGGCGACCCATCTAAAAACAAATTGACAGTGATTCCTTATCACTATTATAATGCCTAGACAATATTCCAACTTCCTCAGTTGTTTTTTACGAGAAAGATCTAAATTTCTGGCATGATATTTGGCAGAAATGTTTCTTATGTGTTTTTCAGTCAATAAGTTCTCTTACTTCCTCCCAACCTCTCAATATTTCTTTTTTCATTTGGGGAGCAGAGGGTGAAGATGAGGTCATTTATCCTATAGCGTTTCTCAATCCTGGGTTTTGCTTACTTGCCTTCCTGTGATAATCTGGACCTCTGGACCCTATTTTTCCAGTATACAGGTAGTTGGGTCCAGAGGCTTGGCTACACTTGGGTGTGATATTTTTTGGTAAGTAATACCTGATTGGTGGTGCTATGTACAGCTTCTTTCAGGAGACACACAAGGTCCTTTTTTGTGATGCACACAGCCATTGATAATTTTCAGCTGGAGGCATTATTTCAGGAAGAGTTTACAAGATGATGATAAATCTAATTCAGTCATTCACTCTTCATTTACTAACTGGAATAGTTGTCAGCTTGTATTCTTCTCTCTGACTCTGACCCACAGGTGTCTCCATTGCACATTCCCCAAGCCTGAGGGAGAGGAGTTTCCCACCAAGTCAGCCCACAATGGAATTTGTGCCCCCAGCAACACCACCTGCAAGACACCAGTGGGTGCCAGACGAGACTGAGAGTGTCTGCATGGTCTGCCGCAGAGAGCATTTCACCATGGTAAGCAGCTTCTCTTTCCAGCTTTAATGGAGAGAAAAGTTCATAAGCCTAAGTGAATAGTCACGTCTTGTCCTCAAGAAGATGGTGTTATTTCTAGAACTATAAACTATCATACTGAATTTATCTTCAGTTTGCCATTTAATGTAGTTCTTTCATTGGACAGCAGGTGGCCTTACCTTTAAAATCTTTTCCATTCTCATGAGGTAACTGAAAATAGGCAGTATATAGGGTAGCAGCAGTCAGCACAAGGCAGGAGATCTGGTTTCTAGCTCCCAAGTCTTTCACCGTAAGAGGTTTTCTAGTCCTGGTTACATGCTGGTCATCAGAGAGGACCTCAGTTCAAATCCTGACTGTGCCTCTTGCCAGCAGTGTGAATATAAACTTTTCCAGTCATTTTCAGTGCTCATTTTTATGAAGGAATACCAAAAGCTAAACCAGTTTCTGTTGTGTCGTTTCTAGCTAATGGCAAGTCCATGTGTTACGGCACATACATAGACTCCTTAAGGTTTTCAGAGGTTGTGACCTTTCAGAAGTAGATAGCCAGGCCTTTCTTTCAAAGCTTCTCTGGGTGAATTCAAACTACTAACCTTGCAATTAATAGTAGCCAGTTAGCCAAATGCTTAAAAATCAACTTCGTCCAGCTTCAACTTCGGACCTCTTAGGACTTAATACTTTAGCAAGTGTTAAGCACACTTAGCCTAGGATTCTGATTCATTGACATATTAAACTCAGTGCTACGCCAGACCATGATACTATATCATCATGACACCTATTTCTGTGTTATCTGTGAAAGAAATGTAGCGCTTCTATCAATTCCATAGGATTCTTATAATGAAATGAGGCAGGTGTGTTTTTTTTCTGCCTTATGATTTATTTGTACAAATAACACAGGAGGACACCAGCCCATGCAGATGGCAGCAGCCCAGGGGTTACACCAGTCCTTCTGTCCTCAGATGAAGAACTCAGTTGTGGAGCCTTTGCAGGGGCCTGGACACCTTTGGGAACCTGACTTGGAGCAGGAGCCTGGGTTGAGGCCTTAGCTGGCGCCTGGGCTGCCACCTTGGCTGGCGCCTGAGTTGAGGACTTTGCTGGAGCTTCGACCTTACTGTCAGCCGTGGCTTTGGATTTTGGCCGGTTAAGTCTGAGCCCCTTGGCAATGCGGGCCTGAGCACGCTTCCCAAGCCTGGGATGGGCTATGTAGGCAAGTCGGCTGAGCTTGCGGTTGACACCCCTTAGGATCCTGGGCTTGACCTCTTTGGGCTTGACAAGAGCCTCACAGCCTTGGCACGTTCATCCATGGCCTTGGCATTTGTTGGCCTGCATCTTCTTCAGACCCTTGTTGTTGTGCTTCTTGGCAAAGCGCATGTTCCTCAGGAATTTGGGGTCTACCCCCTTAGGAGACTTATATTGTTGCTGTCTTGGTTTCTTGATACCATTTTTGTGCCATTTTCGGGACTGATTGTGTGTGTGGTGGTTCTTGGAGTTGGCCGTGTCTGCACTGTTGCCAAAGCTCCCAGAGCGCCAGTGACCAGAAGAGAAAGAGTGAGGCATTATTTTTAAAAACACTTTGAAAAATACTAGTTTTTCATCATCATTGGAAAAGTACTAGAAAAACTAAAGTTAAAGGATTTCTGCTTTCCAAATTACAGGTTCTAGATCCCATTAGAAAGAATAACAATATGAAAGACTAGAACTTTCCACTCAAGGAAGCAGTTCATTTAAAGAGAATATGTTTTGCTGAGGGAAGGGGAGTAAGGGAGCCCTAGTGGCATAGTGGTAAGGAGTTGCACTGCCAATCTAAAGGCTGACAGTTCAAGTCTATCAATCCCTCTTCAGGAGAAAGATGGGCAGTCTCCTCTCGTGTGATTTAAAACCTCAGAAAACCCACTGAAGGGTCAGCTAAAAGTCATTTCTGACTCAGTGGCACATAACAACAGGGAGGAGTGTCTTTTCAGAGAAGAGGGCCAGACTAATCATGTGACCATACAGTCATTGAGGCAGGATTTGGGTAGAGTAGTTGTGCATTGTGGAATGACAATATGGTAACAAAAGAAATCTAGGAGGTTCATCCTGGAACCTGTCTTGCTGGGAGTGGCTATGGTAATCAGATGTGCTTTTCCTCAAGATAGATTCCATTGCACAAGCTCCTGGGAAAGCAGGCATCACTTACTATGGGGTGGCCCACATACGCTATTGGTGTTGCCTCTGAGTTTGAATCTCAGTTCAGCATGGAACTTTTGGCAAAGGTTAATTCTCAGTCACCAGTGTTGCTCTGGTGTGTGTTCCAGGCATCAGATGGACTGGTTGCTTTGCCAGTGCCCACTAAGAAAATAAGTCTGCAATAAAACAAGGTATCTAAACAATGGAATGGTATTGTAAAGCACAGGGCTTTGAGTGATAGCAGGACATGGGGCAGAAAGGAGGAAGAGGCCCTATTCTTTGTTTATCTTGATACTGTAGAGAAATGTGATCATCATTGACTCAGAAGGTCATTTCTTCCCATTAGTTTTTGCCATATGTTCATATTACTCCACAGAAAGGGAGAATTTGTTCCAGAAGCTATTGCTATACTGTCCAAGACTTAGGTACTTTGCTCTTCAGCTTTGAAATACCTTAAAATGTCAAGTTCTTAAAGGAAAGACTGTTGGCGTTTTGCAGCAGAGCCCCATCCACCTTGCGATCTCTGTGTGTATATAATAAACCCCTGGAGGCTGAGTATGAATGAATTGATGTGAGGTGTGTCATAGTTTCTGTCACTGGACCTTCTCTTACTCTCTCCTCTCTTCCCGATGACGTCCTTCAGTTTAACAGGCGTCATCACTGTCGCCGCTGTGGTCGGCTCGTGTGCAGTTCCTGCTCCACAAAGAAAATGGTGGTGGAAGGCTGCAGAGAGAACCCTGCTCGTGTGTGTGACCAGTGCTATAGTTACTACCACAAAGAGTGAGTGTCTTGCAGCAGGGCTGCTGTGTCGTTGACCCTGTCCCTACCCACACGCCTGGGGCCTCACTGCAGAAGCATTCCAAGTCTAGGATAACTACAGAAGCTTTACATGTAGCACTTTCACTCTGAATGGCCATTAGGTGGCCTGGTGGCAAGAATCTGTACTGCAATCCCCAGGGCAAGCAGTTCAAATCCACCAGCTGCTCCGCGGGAGAAGGATGGGCAGTCTCCTCCCATGCAATTAACTGCCTCTGAAAACCAGCTGGAGGGTCAGTTATGGGTTGATTCAGACTCGATGGTACACAACAACAACTACAGTGAAATGTTTATAAACTGCCTTTAGTCAGAGAAACTACGAAAAGAGGAAACAGGGTGTTCAAGACTCTAGCCATATGTTCTCTCTGAGATCAAGACACTTTCAACTTAGCCTTTCCCCTGATTCAGGCCAAAGAGCTAGTCGACCCCTAACTTGCTGTTCTATAAAAGTTCTATTGGATTGTCTATTCAATGTTATAGGCATTAGAGGGGAATCCTGACCTTCAAACCTCTCTTGGTTCATTTGGTCCCAGTTGGACTCAAGGGCATGTGTTTACATGCATGGAATGTTTGGGCATCACCTTCAGAGCTAATCCAGGCCGTCGTCTTCACTTTCTTCTCAATGAGAAGAGCTTCCACGCTGAATGTGCCTGATGATAAATTTCAGAAACTATCCATTCCTCTCCAGGACAGTTCAAGACTGTATTTTGCTCAAAATATTGAATGTTCTTCAGTATTTTCCATTGTTTCTAGCTGCCAAGGAGGATGGACTAAGACCCGCTAGGACATCCAGAAATAGAGACCAGAGTAACAAGTTAAAAGTGAAATTGCTTTGAATTTTCCCTGGCTTACTTAATGATTTAAATGGATTATACATTTATCTCAGTATCACTTTGGAGTTTCTTTTAATATGTTTTGTCATTTTTTAGCAAGGCAGTTGCTGATATAGGAAGACGTGCCATGCCTTATTCCAGAGTTATCTGTGACCCTAGGGTGGAGGGCAGGGGATTATCCATACTCCATACTGCTGTCATTTGAAATGAGCAGTTAATACTCATGGGAGTTCTTCCTTCAGCAGTCACTCAGCAATAACTACCTAGCTGTCAGGGGACTCCCATTTTAGTGGGGAAACAGCCAACAAGCCGACCACAGGCAACGGACACGTGTAGTAGAGGCTGGAGAGCACACAGCCCTTCACTTGGCAGAGTCAGGACTTCCTAGAGGTGGAGACACCTATGTTTGAACCTTAGAAGATGAGTTTATGGGGGGAAAAGTAAAACAAAAGAGCATACCCATTTGTGAGATTAATAGCTGCAGAGGTTGAGGGCAGGAGAAATTCAGATCACATGAAAAATTGTGACTAGAGAGGTGAGGAGCTAAGGGCAGCAGCCGAAAGCTGGGCAGAGGACTGAGACACTGCCACAAAGGCCCAGGGCTTGCTCTCCAGCAGCAGGTGCTTGGAGTTGGCCAGAGGCTGCTTGAATGGATACTACACTGGGCTCCAGCCTGTAGCACTGATATTTGGTGTCCAGGGAGGGGCCAGATGAAGCTGACCAAGGAGAGGAGGAAGGGATTCTGTGTCTTGAGCAGAGGTCATTAGTAGCAGGTGATGACATTGAGAGGTAGTCAGACCAAATCATAAAGGACTTCATCTGCTGAACTGGGACTGTGCATTTGGTGGTTTGTGGTGTTTTATGGTTTTTTTGTACCTTGAAGAGGTAGCAAAGCATTTTAAGCAGGACCATAAATGACCAGATCTTCATTTTAGAAAATGTTCTGTGACTGCAAATAAAGAATAGGTTAACAGAATTAGAGAGACCAGAAGGGAAGCTATTTCAGATTCTAACAAAAAAAAATAATGAGAGTACTCCCCAACACAGGGATGGAGAGCGAGTTAGAGATTTATAAGGTGGAAGGACCTGGTGAATGATTAGTGGTGACCAGTTAGAGAGTGGAGTCTGGCATGAGTCTCTAAGACCCTGGACAATAGATTGAGTGTCCATGCATGCTCTTTCCAGATAGTTAATTTTTCTTTCTCTGTTCCCAGTGTGCCAGAGGAGAATCCAGACCAGTCAGGTAAGACTAAATCACGTGCTCCAAGATCTCATGCTCACATTGGATCTGTGTTCTGTATGTTAGTTAGCTGCAGCTGATATTCTCAGCGACAATTCAGTCCAACTTTTTTGTCAAAGAAAATGGTTGGAATTTCTATCATTCTGCTTTCCCTAAATAGGACATCATGTTAATCTTTCATACTAGCCATTAGCTTCCAGCACTGTGAAAACCAACAACCAGAGAGGGTCTTCATCCCATTTTATTAACTTCCCAGCACATTTAGTGCTTCTGTTCGACCTCCTATTTAGTTGCACAATGCCTAGAGTCAGAGCTTGCCAGCAGCTAACAAGGCAGGACAAATTGTTGCTGATTGCCTAGAGCAATGGAGGAGGAAGGAATTAGGAGTAGGAAGAAGACATGGAATGCGTGGCTAATTGCCTTGTTTTATTTTATTGCTGAACAGCTGCCTCCTTTGTCATAAGACCAGAGTAACTGGATTGTGCTGGCTGCCATTGCAGAGAATTTTGACCAAAGTCTCTAAAAGAATTCTGATCAAAGTCAGGGAAACATAGATCCTCATGACTCTATACATTTTCTGGAACCAAAGACATTCGATGAACCCCTGAAAGGACTGCTCTGAGATAATATTTAAATCTTAAAACCAAAAATGTCCCCTAAAGTCCTCTTACAAACCAAACTGTTGCTTAGCTCTTTTTATAAAGACTGCCTTGCGCATTATGCTCTTTGAAGGACGATCTATATGCAATCAGAGTGACCACAGCAACTTGGGAGCAATGAGTTTATGTGGATAGGGAAGAACAACTCATAACAGGAGAGTTATGGTTGTACAACTCAAAGAATAGACTCAGTGTCATAGAATTATACATATAGAAACAGGTTGAATTGGTGTATGTTTTTCTTATATTCTCACCAAAGGCCAAAGAAAATTTAAGAGAAAAGATAAAGAAAACTCTTTAACTTTTCGTAGGGTTTTTTCCAAGATTCCCTAGCCTCCCTTCTTTATAGCACTCTTCCTTCCTTATAGACAGCCCCTGTTCACAATTTGCACTATATCCTTCACAGCAAGTTATTTCTTAAAACACCACCAGTGGCTCAGCCCTCCATTTGAGAAGCATGAATCTCTTAGGGTTGTGTGACAGACTTTTTACAATGCTCGCCCACGTTCTACTATGCTTGGACAAAAAAGTGTGAAGCGCTTACTGTGGTCTCGTAAAGGGAACAAAATGGCCCAAGGAGAGAGAAGGGGCACCCAAAGAGATGGTATCTGCCCAGAGCCTGGCCCCAACTCACTGGATGGGACTAGAGGATGACTGGCTCTTCTCTTCCCAGCACCAGACAGTTCCAAGAGTGAGAGCCCACCATACTCAGCTGTGGTGAAGGTCCCCAAACCTGCCGAGCTGGAGTGGACTTTGGATCTGGACGAAGAAGAAAATGAGCTGGTGCGCAGTGAATTTTACTATGAACAGGTAAATAGCAAGACCGTGTTACAGTTATTCACATGCCCTTGTGATGTATAGAACAGTCCCTGGATGGAGCCAGTGGTTAAATAAATAACCACTAACTGAGAGGTTGGAATTTCAAATCCAACTAGAGGCCCCTTGAAAACAAGCAAAAGGGAGGGCCTGACCTACTGCAATAGGAGACTGGAACAAAGGGAAGCATATCAACAGTGATCCTGTTCATATAACTAAACTCTTTGCCATCTAGTGGATTCCAATTCATTGAGACCCTGCAGGACAGAGTTGAACTGCCCAGAGGGGTTTCAAGTCTGTAAATGTTTACCGAAGCAGACTGCTGTGTCTCGTTCCCCTAGAACAGCTGATAGGTTCAAACTGCTAATATGCAGAGTCCAAATACTTTAACCAGCAAGCCACCGGGCACCACTACCACCTCTCCCCAGCCTCTTCCTGGTTTTCTAGTCCAGGCCTTCCCTCCTCACTGTTGGGTTGGACCAGAACAACTGCCTCACTGTCTCTTGATCTGGACGGGTCTCTGCAGTGGGACACACTGCTACTGTTTCCTTCTCGTTGGTTTGTTCCTCTGCTCAGATCAGAAACCTTAAAGTGAGTTGGAGTTGATTCACTGACGTTAGGTTTGATTTTTCTATTTTATCAACAGCCTTAAAAAGTCGACGGCACATGAATACACCATCACCTTTTCCCATGTGTTTGGCAAAACCCAGCAGCGTGCACAATGCTGGAACATCTGAAATTTATTCTGCTTCACTTTACTCTGGAATTTTTTGGCTCCTCCCAGCAGTGAAATGGGAAGACTAGTCCCTGCCCTCTGGTAGCATTGAAAAAGAATGCTCTGCTCCCTGAGGTCATCTGTCTCTCTCTCCTCACACCTGCCCAGGCCCCCAGCGCCTCCTTGTGCATCGCCATCCTCAATCTGCACCGGGACAGCATTGCTTGTGGCCACCAGCTGATTGAACACTGCTGCAGGCTGTCCCAGGGACTCACCAACCCGGAGGTGGATGCAGGGCTGCTCACAGACATCATGAAGCAGCTGCTTTTCAGCGCCAAGATGATGTTCGTCAGGGCCGGCCGCAGCCAGGACCTGGCTCTCTGTGACAGGTATTTCTATACTAGACTCATTTCTGTCAGACAATCATAAGATCTATCTGTGGAGCCCACCGGCAGCTCAGCTCAGTGACACACACAACAACACAGTTTCTACCCAACTTCTTTTTCTGACTCCATTTAGACACTAAAAGGTCTTACATCCCAGTTTGATGTTAAGGAAAGATCCCATATGGTCCTCTCTCACTCTAACTGGACAGCCTGTGTCCTCCTCTTCCCCCAGGGACCTCTTCTAAGCAGAGGTTTTCTCTAGTTACCCCTCATCAGAAAGCAAGCAAGCAAGCGAAGACTTTAGTGAATTTATATTTAGAATCCGTTTGGGAGAAATACACTCTGGCTTCAAAGTAAACATCCAGTGTCCTGTGCTTCACCTAGACCAAAAACTCCACCTCAGTTATGACAAAATTCATGCTCTGGCCTCAGGGAGTTTAACTGATAAATAAAGAAACAAATATGTAAAACAACAAGGGTCAATGGCATTAGGCAAAATAGATTTAGTCTTGTTTGCCTATTAATAGTAATTCAAGGCAATGCAAACATTTCACGAAATTAAAAAAAAAAAAAAACAGAACCAAAAAAAAAGAAACAAATATGTATTAGGTAAAGTTTTTTAAATAGCAATAAAAAGAATTAAAATTACAAAAATAGTGGGCAGGGACCACTTAATACAGCAAAATATAAAAAGCATGGAGAAAGATTTTAAAGCAAAAATAAAAGCAAAGACCAAATATATTTCTAGTATCAGTAAATGGTATAAAATCAGTTTGGGGATTTGTCCTGGTTTCCAGTCTGTTGGAGTGTGGAGGCTCATCACCGTGTGCTTCCTCCCGTAGCTACATCAGCAAGGTAGACGTACTGAACATCTTGGTTGCGGCCGCCTATCGTCACGTGCCATCTCTGGACCAGATCTTGCAGCCAGCTGCAGTAACCCGGCTACGGAACCAACTTTTGGAAGCTGAGTACTACCAACTGGGTGTTGAGGTGAAGCAGATACATAGCTTCCTCTCTTTTAAACGTGTAGTGAAAGTTTGGGTGTAGGTTTACAGAGCACATCTGTTTACCATGCAACGATCTATACACCTGCTTCATGACGTTAGTCAGAATCCCAGCAGTGTAACCACACTCTTCCCTCTTCCTCCATGGGTTCCCCATTTCCATTCCTCCTCCTTTCCTACCCCTTCCTGCCTTCTGAATGTTGTTTTAGGGTATACATTGCACTTTTGGTCTATATTGCATGTAATTGATTGAATGAACTGAGGAGCACATTCCACACAGATGTCATGGCTTATTTTATAGGGCAATTGATTATTTGGCTAGAAAGTGACCTGTAAGTGTGGGTACAGTTCCAGGTTTGAAGGATAATGCCTAAGGGACATAACTTGTAGTTTCTACAACTTGTTATCGGACCAGTAAGACTGGTCTGTTTTAAGATTTTTAATTTTGTTGTACGTTTTTCTGCTACTCTGTCCAAGACTTTCAGTTACAATCCTAGACAGAGAAAGTCAGCGGTGGTAGCTGGAAAAATCCATCTTGTTCTGGTCTTGGGCTAGTGGAGGCTCTTGTTCACATGGCCCATTACTCATTTGGACTAATGGTTTCCTTCCTTGAGTGCTTGTTTCCTTTGCTCCAGACATGGAGAGACCAGTAGTGGCCACTTAGATGACCACTCACAAGCTTTTATGGCCCCAATTGTCACTACTCACCAAAGCAGTATGTAGAACATTGTCTTTGTGGGCTGTATTATACCTGTTCTCCTAGATGTCCCTTGAGACAATAATCATAAGCCCCAAAATCTAGAAACTCAGTCCTTCAAGGTGTTAGTTATGTAACATTTTCAGACCTTTGTTCCCTGTGTGTTTTACATGCACGTATTTGCTGCACATACAAATATGTATGTAGAAATACCCTTTGCCAGCCTGTATATGCTGGTGAGTATACTCCCATCCATCTTCCCACATTTATTCAGCTTACGTGTCTACCTATGTATCTACTCATAAATTATAATTTCTTATTACTGCTATTGCAAGATACTATCTATAGTAGTATTTACCATATGTAATGGTGTTTATTTACCATTGTTACCTTTTATTCTTGTGTGTCTCTCATGTTTCCTCTGCCTTGCTCATGTTGTGCTGACTGCCCCTTCGTTGTATATTAACTTTCCTTTCACTTGAGTTAATCTGTATCTACTGTCTAGTTAGTGATTTGGTTTTCCTTCCTATCCCTCGTAACCATCAAAGAATGCTCTTTCTGTGTGTAAACTTTTTCTCGACTTTTTATGATAGTTGGTGGTGGTGCTGGTGGTGTTGTGTGCCATCAAGTTGGAACTGACTCACAGCTGATCCTCCAGTGGGATTTAAGAGGCAGTAAATCAAACATAAAGAGACTGCCCATATTTCTCTCATGGAACAGCTGGTGGATTAGAACTTTATGTCTTTGAGGTTGCAGCACAGCTTCTTACCCCTAGGCCACTAAAGCTCTTTATAATCACAGTCTTCTATAATATTTGTCCTTTTGTCATAACTTATTTCACTTAGCATAATGTCCTCCAGGTTCATCTGGGTTGTGAGACAGTCATCGTTATTCCTTAATGTTGCATAGTGTTCCATAGTGTCTCCATTGCATAGTTTGTTCCTCCATATATCCATTGATGGGCTCTTGGGCTTCCATCTGCTGTTGTGAATAGCGCTGCAGGGAGCCTGGCTGCGCATGCATTCTCTTCACATCACTGCTTGGTCTGTATGTCTGTTTTCATGTGAGCACCAGGCTGTTGTGACTACTGTGGCTGTACAATAAAATATCTGTGATAAAATAATAAGAGATTTTCTATCTTGTTCTTTAATAATACTTTACCTATCCAAGATCTCAGCAAAAATAAGGCTTTCTTACCTCCAAATAATAATTGCCATAATCTAGCCTTGCAGAACTCTCTAAAGCGTAAATATTTTGCTTGTGGGGAAATGAGGGCAGATGGAGTTCTGGGGAGGTGATTGGCAGGAGGAGGACAATGTAGCATGGAAGAGCTCTCAGTCTTGATGTAGATATCTCCTGGTAAGAAAGAACCCTTTTTCTTCCAGGTCTCTACAAAGACTGGACTTGATACCACTGGAGCGTGGCATGCTTGGGGTATGGCTTGCCTTAAAGCTGGGAATCTCACAGCTGCACGAGAGAAGTTCAACCGTTGTCTCAAGCCACCTTTTGACCTCAATCAGCTGAGTCATGGCTCAAGGCTGGTGCAGGATGTGATTGAATACCTGGAGTCCACAGCAAGACCCCTCATGTCCTTGGTAAGAACAGAGCAAGCAAGGAGAAGTATATGCCTGGCACAGTCTGCTCTAGGGAAGGATCAGCATCAATTCAACTGACCCTGGCCGACCTGGCTCAAGGACTACCAAACTGATCGTTTGTTATTTACCTGATATATACTGTGAAACCTGTGAGAGCCAGAATGCAGCAGAGCTGCCTTATTTTTCCAGGTCTCAAAATTTTTCAGCCTCTGACAAGGTGTAGTCTTTTACTCATTTTAGTGAAAAGTAATGTGAGTTTTTCCTTCTCTGACAAGTGTCCACCTTACACAGGTTCCAGCTTTTCAGGTTTTACTGTAATACCTGTAGGATAGCAAAAGAGAGGAAGATATTTAACCAAGTGAATTGACACAGTGACCGCAGCAATGGGTTCAAGTGTGAAGATAGGACAGGGTTCAGATACGTTGTTCATTGGGTCTCTATCGGTCATAATTGACTCGATGGCACTTAACAACAACATATGAGTAATAATTAATACAAAGCCAAATTGTTTTAGTAAAAAAAGCCACAAAAACTTTTTAAATTTTATTTTACTTTATTATTTTGTGTGTGTACCATCAAGTCAGATTTGACGGGTACAGGAGGAGATTGCCCCTCCTTCTCCAGCAGAGCATGTAGTGGATTTGAACCATGTACCTCTGCGATTGCAGTGCAGCTTCTTGCTACTAGGCCACCAGAGCTACCCACAAAATTTTTTTTAAGAAAGATAAAAATTCTTTCTAATCAGCTTAAAGTAAAAGCCCCATCTAGTTTGTGGTAATCCTTTATGCTGTATAAGTAAAGATGCCTTATAAGGTTTTTCTGGCAATAATCTTTACAGACTCAGATACCAGGCTTTATTTCCAAGGTGCTTGCAGGGTGGTTTTAAACCATAAACTTGTGGGTTAGTAGACAAATGCAAACCATTTGTGCCACCCAGGTACCTTTATCTCCTACTTAGATTGAATTAATATCTGAGTTTTGGTGAGTTTTCATCTTTATGTTTTTGTTTGAAATTGGATTTATAGAGCATTGCATTATACAGAACTTTGTAGCCTGCTTTAGCATGTTTTCACTGGTTATTCTTCAAAAACATGAAAACTTGCTGAGTATTGTTTTTCCAATGCACCCTCTCTTTCCTGTCAGCAAGATGACGATTACTTTGCTACGCTGAGAGAGCTGGAAGCTACCCTTCGGACCCAAAGCCTCTCCCTAGAGGTGATTCCCGAGGGGAAGATCCTGCACAACACCTACTACCAAGAATGCCTCTTCTACCTGCATAACTACAGCACCAACCTGGCCATCATCAGCTTCTACATGAGGCACAGCTGCTTGCGGGAGGCCCTGTTGCACCTGCTCAATAAGGTGGGCCCTGCCAACCCAGCTCCCACGGAGCAGGGCCTGCGGGCTCCCATGGAGCAGGGCCTGCCTGAGCCGTCTTGCGTGAGCCACTCCGCTTTAGGGGGGAGGGGGCACTATGGAAACATGGAGCTTTGAGGTTGTGTCTGATGGAGTCAGGTAGAAATGGAAAACTCTACATAGCTGTTAACTGGTGGGTGTGTGACAGGTCTTCACCTGGATCCTAGGTCGCCCTCCTGACTGGCACTGAGGAATTCCATTCCTTTCTCCAAAGCAGAATCAGACAATAGTTAAGAGCATAGACTCTTGGCAGGAGAAGGTTGGCTTGAGGTTTGTGTGACATTGGGAAAACTGCTTAGCTTCTCATAACCTCAGTTGCTTCGTTTGTAAAATAAATATCATTGCAACACTAATTATGTAGAATTGTCCAAACCAAAACAAACTCACTGCTATCAGGTTGTTTGTAACTCATCAGCCCTCCTTCAGATTTTCAAGGCTGTAAATATTTTAGGCAAGTAGTTTGCCCATCTCTTTGCCAAAGAACAGCTGATTAATTCAAGCTGACAACTTTTCAGCAAGCAGCCCAACACATAATCCTCTACACCAGCCTGCCTCCTTACTGTTGTTGTGTACTGTAGAGTCAGAGCTGGCCCTTTGCTGACCTCCAGTGAGTTTCCGGAGGCAGTTAACCACACTGGAAGAGACTGCCCATCTTTCTCCCACCAAGCAACTGGTGGACTCGAACTGCGTGCCTTTGGCATTTCAGCACAGCTGCTTGCCATTAGGCCACCAGAGCTCTCTTATATAGAGTTATTAAAAACCTCACTCAATGCCTTTGAGTCAGAACTGACTCACAGCTGACCCTCCAGTGGGTTTATGGAAGCTGTAAATTGCACAGGAGATTGCCTATCTTTCTTCTGAGAAGTCACTGGTGGATTTGAACCACCAAAGCAGCACTGCTTTTGATTTAACAGAGCAACCAACTCATAGCTGACCCTCCAGTGAGTGTTAGAGGCAGTAAATCACACAAGAAGAGATTGCCCAGCTATCTCCTGCAGCAACTGAGGGATTTGAACTACATGTCTTTGTGTTAGCAACACAGCTTCTTACCACTAGGCCACCAGTATATAGTATCACAACTATATCATTGATGATCTTTAAAAGGCAAAATTTTAAATAATGTACAACAAGCAAACAGGAATTGCCAAAGTATACTGTGCCTTGGGATTTCCTTGGAAATTTCATTGCATTTGTAGTGGGAGGGAATTTTTGACCTGGAAACTGTAGTGAAGAAATCAGGAGAGAATTAGCCCGGAGAGAGAGTCGAGGGAAAGGAGGTCAGAGGATGCAGGAAGAGAAGAAGGTGGTATCTAAAAAGTATTAGGACCCAGGATTATGTCAAGAAGAGAAAATACTCCATCTTTGTCCTAGTTTGGTGTGCATTCCCCATACTTTTTGACTCATCTCCTGTTCTACTTAGAATTATAACCACAAGGCATGGAAACAACCATGGCTCAAATCCTGTGCCACATCTCCAAGTATCTGGTAAAAAGAGAGCAGATGATGTTTTGGAGGAGGGAGGGAGGGAGGGATTACTTTTTTTGGGTTTTTTCCTTACATCCTCTGCCTTCCTCCCCTGGAGACCAAGATATCACTAAAGTGGTTTTTTGGAGCCATTTTTGAGCAAAGTCAGGACTGTTTCATCATTACCCTTTGATATTTTCTGCTCTTAGCTCAAACTTCCATGATAACTTCCTGAAGAATTCTGTATATCAAATTTTATTTGACACTGAAACAGCTCAAGATATTCTTTAAATGGCATCTCATGAAAATTTAGAAATAACCATATCATGTAGCACTGCTCACCAGTTCAGGTAGTCATAGTAACCATCCCTCTAAGAGAACAGTGCAAGGGAAAGGTTTCTGTACTGTCTTGGCATAACTATCTCAGCTTATGATGAGGCCTCAAGAGTAATGTAGAAGTTTCATTATTTGGACTTGAGGAATGAGAAAACTTTGGCGTCGGAATGGTTTACACAGCTGAGCAGGGTGTCTAGGGAAGGGGATGTTGGAGTAAAGACCTGAAGAAGGTGAGGGAGTAAGCCGTGGAGGTGTGAGTGGGGGCAGGGCAGGCCAGGTGGAAGGAGAGGTGGGTACAGAGGCCAGGGTGGCTGCAACAGAGCATACTGGGAGAGAGTGGCTCAGACAAGATCTGAAAGGTAACAGAGTTGCTGTCTTCTTTTTTTTCCCCCTGCATTTTCCAAGTGAGTTTTGAAGTGAAGCTGTTTCTGCAAGCACAAATTACAGATGGCAGCCGCCAAATTCTGTTCTCTCTCTTAGTAACTGTAGTGCAGAGAGAGTTAAGCTGCTTAGTTAATTATCTGTTATAAGCTGACTACAGCACTGGCCCTGCTTTGCATTCGTCTAAGCTAAGAAGAAGCTGGGTTTTATTTGGTTTTGTTTGTTTGTTTGTTTTGTCTTTATAATTACAATTATCCTTGGACTGAAATATGTTTATTCTTAAGTAGGCAGGAATAGCAGAAAAAAAGCACTGTGAAAACTACAGCTGAATGTCTGGAGCAAGAAAGATATTCTGTGTCTAGGCTTATCCCTTGCTCTTTTCACACTTTACCGACCACATTGACCCAGGATAAACTTTCCAAACCACAGTTGTGGCTCTAATGAGCTGCTTTCCAATTGGCCCTTGACTCATGACGACCCCATGCTCAACCGAACGCATCTGCCTGGTCTTGCTTGGTCCTACCGGTCCCTGTTCTGGGTTAACAATTAGACTGTTGTGATCTATGCAGTTTTCATTGCCTGGTTTTCAAAAGTAGATATTGCTTGGTCTTTCTTCCTAATCCATATTTGTCTGGAACCTATTGAGAGCTGTTCCACAATAGAGTGATACATAAGCCAGCCTCCACTGGCAGATAGTAGCTGTGCACGACCTTGGACTGGGTATGAAAGCCAGATCTTCCACATGGAAGACGAGAATTCTGCCACCACTGACCCACTAATTACTCATTATTTATTAAATAGTTTCTTTATTAAATTTATTTATTAAATAGGGACAGTTCTTGGAGACAAGGATACAGTAACAAAAAAAAAAAAAAAACAGAGAAAGCCAGATCTTCCTTCAAAAATTTGTATTATAAAGGGAGCTCTGGTGACCTAGTGGCAAGAGGCTGCACTGCAATCCCGAAGGTGCTTACAGTTCAAATCCACCAGATGCTCCACTGCAGAAGGAGGGACAATCTCCTGTGCCACTTGGATCCGACTCAATAGTACACAACAACAACAAAATGGCAGAGAGAGAAATAGTAAACTTGGTAAATAAAATACAGAGGGCTCGTGAAAAGTAGTTAGAAACCTCAAGTGGGGTTGTGGAGGTGGCTTGTGTGATTTTGAAGGGATACCCAGGAGAAGTGATGTTTGAAAGACCTGAAGGAGTTGAGAGAGTAAATTATGTTGATGGAGCAGCTAGTGTGGGTGAGGGGACTGCAGAGTGAGCTGGGCGAGAATCCCAGCAGGTAAGGTAAAAGATGACAGGGGCCGTGTCACGCAGGGTCTTAAAACCTCAGGGTAAACTTAGTTAAGGCCTATATGATTGAGAGGAGCCTTAAACTGGCCTCTGTGGAAAACCTATATTTTACTTGAGCTTATGTTGTGAAGTGGGCAGTCCAATTTGAGATTTTACATTGAGTGAAAAGAAAAACCACTGGGAGATTTTGAGCAACGGGGTAACATGATCTGACTTAAGTTCTTATGAACCATTCAGGTTGATTTCTTGACATTAGACAAAGAGGAACGTGGAAAAGGCTAGACCAAGTAGTAAACTATTGTCCTAACTCAGCCAAGATGTTGATGATGGAGCTGGTGAGAAGTGATCAGATTCTAGATATGTTTTGAAGATGGGACCAACAGAATTGGCCAATGATTTTGTTATTGTGGAGCATGAGGAAAGGGAGGATTCAAAGGTTTTTTTACCGGAACTACTAGAAGAATGGAGTTGCCATCTACTGGAAAAGGGAAAACAGAAAAAACTGGTTTGTAGGAAGCAAATAGTTGGAATGTATTATTAAGTTTATTCTATATCCAACTGGAAATGTTGAGTAGGCAATTGGAATGTACTTCTGGAGTTCAGGAGGAAGGAACAACAAATGGGTAATATTCCATGAGACTAAATGAAATCAATAGAAAAGGGGACAGGTTCCTCCTGGCCCCCGGGGCAATTAGGTGGCAATTAGTCCATAAGGGAGACTAAGAAGGAGGAGCCAGCCAGGGAAGTAGGAAGAAAAGGTGGTGTCCTATGAGTCGAAGAAAGAAAGATTTTTTTCAAGAAGGAGGAAGCTATCTGCTGCAGTAAAAGCTACTAATAGTTCAGATGGAATGAAAACCAAGAAAGGACTGTTGGATTTAACTGTGTAGTGGTCACTGGTGACCAGAGGACAATTTTTTTAATAAAATTTTTTTTTAATTTTATTTTTTGTATGTGTACTGTCAAACTGGATCTGACTGGTACAGGAGGGGATTGTCCCTCCTTCCCCGGCAGAGCATCTAGTGGATTTGAACCGTGAGCCTCTGGGATTGCAGTGCAGCTTCTTGCCACTAGGCCACCAGAGCCCCCCAGAGGACAATTTTAATGGAGTTATAGTCATAAAAACTAAAGTGAGTCTAAGATGAATTGGAACAGTAAGCATAGATAGCTCTGTCAGGAGCTTTTCTCTGAAGGGAAGGGGAATGGTGGAACAGTTGATAGAGGAGAATTCTCAAAGGTTCCTGTGACACCAAAAAAAGGTCCAGGAACCCTGTTTTGGAAAATATTGCAGAAGGAGTTTGGTGGAAGGCAATTTAGAGTGGATCCCAGAAATGAATGTCAGATTCATGACTTCTGACTTCTCACCTTGCCCTGCTCTAGGAGAGTCCTCCAGAAGTCTTCATAGAAGGTATTTTCCAGCCAAGCTATAAAAGTGGGAAGCTGCATATTTTGGAAAACTTGCTAGAATCCATTGACCCATCTTTGGAAAGCTGGGGAAAGTACTTGATTGCTGCCTGCCAGCATTTACAGAAGAAGAACTACTACCACATTCTGTATGAGCTGCAGCAGTTCATGAAGGTAACAGCAGCCCCTCCCTACCTTCCTCTGTCAGACACCCGGCCATGCAGAGGAGGCTGTGCATGGTGTCATTTGTTCCCTGTCTTTGTTCTTTGATAGACTCCAGAGTAAATCCGTGTTACTTCTAGCATTGTTAAATGATACTAGCATTTCCATCCTAAAGAGACAAACTTTAATCTTGCCAATCATGGCATTCTTAAAATCCAAGGACCAAGGAAGCTCTGGTGGCCTAGTGGCAAGAAGCTGCTCTGCAATCCCAGAGGTATGAGGTTCGAATTCACCAGATGCTGTGCTGGAGAAGGAGGGACAATCTCCTCCTATACCAGTCAGATCCAATTTAACAGTACACACACACACACACACAAAAAAAAAATATAAAAATAATAATAAAATAAAAATCCAAGGACCAAGCATGAGGCTAGAATGCTAAGTTCATGAGAAAGAATGGAAAGTTAAATGAAGGTATCCAGGTACCCCTCAAAAAAAAACAAAAACACAACTAAATGAAGGTGACAGAAGAGAAAGGGAACAAGTTTCTCCCAATTTGACTGAAAAAATAACAGTCAAGACAAGATATTGAATGCAGAATTAGAATTATCCTTTGTATGTATGTTTATGTAGGAGTGGTGTGTGTGTGTGTGTAGACTAATACCTTGCCCAAGAGTTCAGTCAGTTCTTGCCTTAGGATCTTTTGGGCCCTGGAATAGCTGCTGACCCAGACTTCATGGATCAGGATTCCCATCCCACTCAATCTGCAGGATCCCTGGTCACCTTGGACCTGAACATTTATGTTCCTCTTCCAGGACCAAGTCCGGGCTGCCATGACCTGTATTCGGTTCTTCAGTCACAAAGCCAATACATACACAGAGCTTGGAGAGAAGCTCTCATGGCTGCTTAAAGCCAAGGACCATCTCAAGATCTACCTCCAAGAAACATCCCGTAGCACAGGAAGAAAGAAGACCACCCTATTCCGAAAGAAGATGACTGCGGCCGATGTGTCAAAGTATCTAAAAGTTCAGGGAATAACAAGGGTGGGGCAGAAAGGACTCGGGCTGAGGGTCTGTTGGTGGTGTAGCTGTTCTTGTCCGGCCCAAACCCTTGTTGCTGTTATGCGCCCTCTAGTCTCCGGCCACCCATAATGACCCTATGTTCAGAGCTCTGAAGCCTGCCCTGTCCTGAGCCAGTCTCACTGATTCTGACACACCAGTCCCCGTTGCCCCAGTTACTGTATCAATCCATCTCATCCAGGGTCTTCCTCTCCTGCACTAGAGAAAAAAAATATCTTAAAAAGAATCACCCCTGGGGGTAGGGTATGTGTAGGGAAAAAAGTGCAACAATGAATGACTGGAAACCCTAAGTCTCTGTAAACTTTCATTAAAATTAATTAAACAAACAAAAATACATGGATACAAAGACATAGATGAAACAGAAAATTGTGTGGAATTACAAAACTGAAGAAAAAAAAACAAGAATCATCCCTGGATGAGAAGGACTACATAATCAAACTAAGTGATGAACTCCTTTCTTTTATTTTTTTATTGAGATTTTAATGAAAGTTTTTAGAGAACTTAGATTTCTATTCATTCATTGTTGCACATTTTTCTCCCTGCCCGCCCCTCCCCACTCCCCAGGCCACTTTACTATGCAACTCTTATTCTGGACTCTTGTCATGCAAATAATACATAATCATATATCCCTTTTAAACAGTTCTCTCCCTCATCTATTAACAAGCTCCTTTCAGTTGGTGGGGGGAGCTCATGAGGAATCTCATCCCTGCCTCTTGATCTTTATTTGACGCTACTTTCTTTGGCCTTGCCAAGTTTCCTGTCACACTGACCTTCTGAATGTGCATTTACTCGCCAAATCCTTCCCTGTCTCAGCTTTTGTGTTTTCTAATCACTCTGCACCAGCTACAGTAAGCACCCTACCGTGACAATAAATTGCTCCACAGGACGGAGTAGTCCTGTGAAGTCTTTTCTGTGTTTATTATCCCTCCAGTCACCTATCAACACTGTACAGGTAAAAGCTATGTCTCTCTTGACCTCTAGTGCTTTGTTACCAGGTAACATGGTTCCTGGCACATAGATGCTCAAGTTTCAGAGTGCATCCTAACTATTGTGAGTCTGGACAAGGCTCTGGTAGTTAATGATTGCCGTAGAGTAAGCTCAGACCGATAGCCACCTATATATCACAGAGGGAAACATCATCCAGTCTTGCACCTTCTTTACTGGTATGTTCGAGTCAGTCTCTTGTTGTAGTTGTTATGCCAGTCATCTCTTTGAGAGTTTCCTCATTCCCATTGGCCCTCTACCTTATCAAACTTTCTGTCTATTGCTCTTTCCTGATGACGTGTCCAACCACTAGACCACCTGTTTCTGTCTTGTTACAGCTGTTCAGAGGATCCCTTTTCCTCTATTATCATTTCCTATGCCTTTTCTTATGCTACTTTATTGATTTTTCCCCCCTTACTACCAGCCCCCGTTACAGCACTCCTGAAGCCCCTCATGAGGCTAGACCACATGTTTCTGTCACTGTAGGCACATGAATACGCTCCAGCTGCAGATGGAAGTGACTAGGTTCTTACATCGATGTGAAAGCGCTGGGACCTCTCAAATCACCACCTTGCCTCTACCAACCCTGTTTGGAAATAACCACATGAAAATGGATGTGGCCTGCAAGGTATACAGTTCAGACCTTAGGTAGACTGTTCTCTCCAAACATGTTTCACAATTGTAATTGTCTGCTTAGTGTTTCAAGTGTTTGATGCCTTCCCACTTAAATTCAAACCCCAGAAAGCTGGAATCATCCATTTTGATCATTTTTTAATATCCTTCATATTTGGCCCTTAGTGGGGGTCTTTGCAGATATTTGCTGAATAAATGGGAATCAGTGATATTCCTGATTAAAGGACTAATCCAATAATTATTGCTCACTAAAGGCCCATTTCTCTCTTTCAGGTCATGCTTGGAGGGAAAAATGTAGAAGATGGCTTTGGAATTGCATTTCGTGTTCTTCAGGTATGACTTGGATTACTTGAGATTATACCCAGGCAATTAGCACCAGACCACAGTTCCATGAGAGGTTATTATTCAGAAAATATTAATCCCACAAAAAGCAGATTTATATGCACATAAAGGATGAAATCAAGGAGGTGTCTGTTCTAGAACTGGGTCAAATCCACAATGCAGGCTAGTTTGTAAGAAATCAAGTAGCAAAAAACAAACCCATCCAGAAGTCTTTTAATAAAACACCTTAAAAAAAATAAACACCTTAAACTAAGTCTAGGACATCTCCCCTCAGCTGTTGACCTGCACAGCAAACAGGGCAGAAGGTGGAGCCCTAGGGTTTTCTGTATATCAGGAAGGTCACTGGGCTGCCCTGCCAACCTCTGGATGCCAGCACTAGCATGTTTCCCATTGTAACAAAGGATGCTGGGTCACAAGCTAGAGTAGATAGAGTTTCTCCAGACACCACGCCCCAGCACTGACTACCTGAGAACTGGTTGAGGTGATCGCTGTTCTTCAGGGAAAGTAGGTATGTATCCATACACTGTGTGTGTCATCACGTCACTATAATTTATGAGTAGTTTGTCAGGCTTGTTTCTTCCCATACAACTTCCAACACGTTTCTAATATTGAGGGAAGCTCTCTACACTAAGGTACCCTCAAGTGAGCAGACAGAGGGACAGCCCTTCCAGGCCTGGAGCCTTAAGTGTTACCCTTGACCAAGGTTAAGGTGTTTGTTTACCTGGCAGCTTTCAGCACGTCAGTCATTTGATGAATTGTTCTGTCTCTAAGCACAAAGGCATCTCTCAGCAGAATATCATATGCCCAGAGCAGCAAACATCAGCCCCCAACATCTGTGTCCCAAGGGAAGAATGACTCACGAAACTCTCAACTGTTTTGATTTGTTAGAATATTTTCAGAAAGTGATACAGCAGCAAGATTGGCATTTTTGTGGATGCCTCCTAAATATCTCCAGAGGACCTTGCAGCTTGTGTTTTTCCTTATTATATGGTCTCTCTTCATTATCTGCAGATTCCATATTTGTAAATTCACCTACTTGCAAAAATTCATGACTGCCAAATAATCCTCATGATGTTTTCATGGTCATACACAGATATTCATGGATAAGTACAGAGGGATAAAACATTTTGAGTCACGCAACAGGAAGGTTCCCAACTGCATTCGAAAAGGCAATGCAGAGTCTTTCTTTGTTAGCTCTCAGATCATAACTAAATGTCCTTTTGCAGCATTTGGTGCTATATATTTTGTACTTCTTTTTTTGTGTGTGTTTGGTTTTGCTGTTTAAACCAACCCCCAAGCATAATGCTAAAATACTCTGTGGTATTCCTAAGTACACAATGATAGGCTTTAAAGAAAAAAATAGATTCATTCAGCACGAGTTGTAATGCCACTTTACATGAGTTTCCTGTTCATGAGTCAATGACAGTTATGACACGAGCTACATTCAAATAGAAATACACATAAACAAGATAGTGTATTTAATCAGTGGATGAAAATGTAGCCAGAAGCTCAAACCTGACCCTGTATATCCCTTGGAGTAATAGTTCAACATCTAATAACTTCATATTACAGCAACTTTAATGAACATAACTACCATAAATAATGAGGATCGACTCTGTATTTCCTACTCTGACTACAAGCACTATGTCATCTTGGGCCACACATCACATTAGCTTTTACGGTGCTGACCCCTTCCCCACTATCCCCACTGTTAATATCTTCTACCATTTTAATCCCCTCCTCGTCTGTTCTCTTCTAGGACTTCCAGCTGGATGCTGCTGTCACTTACTGCAGAGCTGCCCGGCAGTTGGTAGAAAGAGAGAAATATAGTGAGATCCGCCAACTGCTTAAATGTGTCAGTGAGTCAGGCATGGCAGCAAAAAGTGATGGGGACACCATCCTCCTCAACTGCCTGGAAGCATTCAAGAGAATTCCACCCCAGGTAGGCTCGCTCCTTGCCTCTCAGCTCCTCCTGTTTGCCTCCATGTCTTCAGTCTTAGTTATCTAGAGCTGCTATAATAGAGATACCACAAGAAACCCATTTTCTCACTGTTAGGATGCTGGACATTGGAATTCTGAGTACCAACTTGAGGGTGCAGCTTTTTTTCTTTTGGCTTTGGAGTAAGGTCTTATTCAGTGGCTCCTTGGTGATCTTCATGTGACTTGTGTCTTCCCCCATCTCTGCCTGCTAGCTGGCTTGTTTAATCTATAGCTCAGAAGAAATTAACATATACCTTGCACTAACTAGCCCTGCCTCATTAACATCACAGGGATAACTCATTCTCAAATGGAATTATAACTAGAGATGTAGACATTAGGATTTGCAATACATATTTTGAGGGACGACAGTTGATTTTTTAAGTCTTCATACATACACTTCATTTTTCTGTTTCCCACATTCTGCCTCAAACTCTGCACAATAGCTTCAGCTTTCTGACTCTTCTATGACGTGTCTACTATAATTGGCTCTTCCCTGCAACCCTATACTCAGAAGATGCCCTCAACATCCCATTGTCTAATATTGTTCGCACCTGGAATTATCCTTGGACTTGCAATTCTTCTAGAATTGCCCTCCCTAGAATCTTTGTAGAGTGAACAAGAGAACTGGCTTTTGGGGAGCTATGCCTCTATTGCTCTTGTACCAGAAGTGAATTTAAAAACAAGAGAACGGCAGACTTCCCCAACCTGGAGTCTGAATGACCAAGCCGAGACCAGATTCGCCCTGACTCCTGTGCAGGTAGACTCTTCTCCCTCTTACACAGGCTGTGTTTCTCTTCTGCACAGGAGCTAGAGAGCTTGATCCAGGCAATCCACAATGATGATAACAAGGTAAGCGGAATCATCTCCAGACCCTAGTGATGCTACTGAATGTCACGCTTGCCGTGTCTTTTCCTTTGCTCCCCACAACACCACCACACCACCTTGTATATCACTTTTTTGTTATTCAGAAGTGGGGCTGATGACACAGATAAGAACGTAGACATTAAGAAGGAAGGGAATAGATAGAGAAAAAAACTAAACATTAACTGTCAAGCTTTTGCCTTCCCATATATCCTGGGAGAAAGAGGATATCTTGTACTGTAAGAAAATATTTTTTTTTAATTGTGATTTTAATGAAAGTTTACAGAAAAGTTAAATTCTCATTCATTGGTTGTTGCACATTTCCCCCTCCTCTAGTTCACTATATATATATATATATCTATATCCTGTTCTCCTCACAACCCCCCATGTCAGTCCTGTTTTAGAACAGTGGTGCTGTGCAGAATTTGTCCTTTTATGACTGAGATAGTTCACTCAATATATGTCCTCCAGAATCACTCACGTTGTGTAATGTTTTATGAGTTAGTTGTTTTTCAGTGCTGTGTAGTATTCCAAAGTATAAATATACCATGGTTTTTCTATCCATTCATTTGTTGATGGACACTTGAGTTGCTTCTTTGTCTTTGCTGTTATAAATAAGGGAGCAGTAACATAGGTGTGCATATATCTGCTTGGGTGGCAGTTCTGGTTTCTTTAGGGTATATACCCAGTAGTGGCATTGCTGAGTCAAATGGTATTTCTATTTCCAACTTTTTGAGAATGTACCAAACTTCCTTCTATAGTGGTTGTACCATTTTACACTTCCAGCAGCAGTTAATAAGGGTTCCAATCTCTCCACAACCTCACCACCATTTCTTGTTTGCTGCTCTGCTGAACTTTGCTATAATTACTGGGGTGAGATGATATGATAATTATTTTTATTTGCATCTCTGAAAGCTAAAGATTTTTAACATTTATTCATGTGTTTGTTTGCCATCTGTGTTTGTTTGCCAATGTCTTCTTTGGTAAAGTACCTATTCGTATGCACCTTTTCTTGTTGAGGTGCTGGATTTACTATAAATTTTAGGTATGAGTCCCTTATCAGATATGTCATCACCAAATATTTTTTTAGAACCCAGAAATTAGCTCATCTACCTATGCTCAACTGATTTTTGACAAGGAGATGAAATGAGTTAAGTGGGGAAACAGCACCCTTTTTAACAAATGGTGTTGGCAAAATTGTAAAACCATATGTAGAAAACTCAAGCAAATTCCAAATCTCACACCATACACAAAAACCAACTCCAGGTGGATCAAGGAAGAGTAAAACCAATGACAATAAACATCATCAGAGAAAAGCTTAGAAGAACTCTAGAAGCCCTAAGCCACAGAATGAACAATCTTCCAAGCATCTTGAAAAACTACTAACCAGGAGAGAATAAAATAGATGAATGGTACCTTCTAAGTATCAAATCCCTGTGCACATCAAAAAAATTCTCTAACAGGGTAAAAAAGAAAGAAAAAGTCCCATCTTTAGAGCAACAAATGTCCATTGGTATCTCATTTTCCAGAATGCTCCTTTGCCGCCTATTGCCTTTGTCATGAACGACAGCCAAATTGAAAGTCCCTCCTACTGCCCCCATGTGCATCTGACCTCCAAATTGAGCTTCCTGGCATCTGGTGCATGGTTCATGAGCTAGGAAAACCTAGCCATGCTTTGGACTGCTCTCACCATCAGCAGGAGAATGATCTGGGAGATGAGTCCTTTATATAGAAAAATCTCTTTTAGAGGCAAATAGCTTCTTACACAGTCACAGAACTGCACTGAGTTTTCAGGATCTTCTTCATTTGAGAAGTTGTTGTTGTTGTTATGTGCCATCAAATCGCTTGTGACTCATAGCGACCCTATGTACAACAGCCCTAAACTCTGCTCTGTCCTGTGCCAATCGCACTGTCTCCAACACTCCCATCCCAATTATCCCAGTCACTGAAGCAGGAAGAACATATTCTAAACATTTGTATATCCTATAATATTCAAATAAGATCAGTGAGAAAGAGAAGAGAAAGCTCTTCACATTCTGGAATGTGGCAAATTACTTTCTAAAAACTAGAATGAGAAACCACAAACTAAGACAGACACCTAAGGCCCCTGGCTACCGTACTGAATTCCTTTCCCTGGTGTTCAGTGAGCTTCACCCTCAGCAAAACAGAGACTTAGTCCCTAGGGAGGCTACATATCACTAAAATCAGCACAATTCTTACTACTTTCTCAGTCTTTTGTTTCTATAGCCATTCTAATGTACTTCTATGATCTCAAGCCATGAAGTGATGCCAAAGACTAGCTCTATAAAGCTCCTATTGCAAACTCAGGAATGTTGGTAGCATAGTGGTTAAGAACTCAGGTGCTAAAAGAAAGGTCTGTGGTTCAAATCCACTAAACACTCTGTGGAAGAGAGATGTGGCAGTCTGCTTCCATTCAGATTACAGCCTTGGAAACTCTGAAGTTTTTCTCTGTCCTGTAGGGTGGCTAAGAGCCAGAATCAACTTGACAGCAGTGGGTTATAAGCTCTTTGGCTAATGCTTCTTCTGTTGGTATGAATTTTGCCTGCCAGTTTGTGGGAGAAATTAACACACTTGTAATATCATTTGTACTGCTTTTTTTTTTTTTTTTTTTTTT